TTGTGAATTATTGAGTACTTGACGGTCTGTGGGTCTCCGTTTGTCTGTGGTTCTGAATCAGGTCTCTCCTCAGCTTAATGACTGAGCGCAATTCGAGTTTTTTGCTGCGAAACTTGGCGCATTACTTGAGATTCTTTTGTTTTAAAAATCATCTAACGGATAAAATAAAGTTAAAGTAGTGAGAATCAGTGATGAAATCCGTTTAGCAGAGTATCCAAAAGTTCATTCGATTATTCGAACCTTCCTGCAATTGCCTTTGACAATAGTGTTTTGAGATGTGCGCCGGAAATGAGTAATCAAGATTATGCGATATTAGCAAAAATAGATTTTCGATTTCGGTTTACGAGCATTGATTGATGAGGTGAGACAGCACAGCGCAGCAGCCGGCTCTTTAAACATGACGAGATCGAAGATTTCCCCCGGCTTGGAGCGACATTTGTTTGAAATTCGATTCGTTAGCGGTCATAATTCCTTCTGTATATGTCAGTCAAATAATTTTTGGAATGCAATTAAGTGGTAAATTATGAAGCATTTCGAACAGGTGAAATGCTAGACGACATAAGCCAGCGATTTATGAAGCTTTGGTAGCTCAACTGCAACTTGTCACACACCCGTTGCATTATTGGTTTGGAAAAATCGTCGAGTATCGCTTACCTGTATCGGTTTTCCACAACAACAACAATTCAGAGAACCAACAGTACTAAACTGGGCCGCAAAATGAACTTAATCAAGTAATGACCGGGTTGATGAGGAGCGGCCACATTTCATATGCCGTTCTACGGCGATGGTAACATGAGTAATACAACAGATACAGATACAGATCAGTAGCTAGACAATAAAACCAAAGCCCAGACACGGCTTGGCCCATTGCCATTAAAACCGACTCTCCTCGGACTCTCCACTCCAAACCCTTCTAATTGGCGCGTCGTCCAGTGAAAAAAAAGGAAAGAAAAGAAAAACGCCCGACTCTCAAAGTGGGGCATAAAACTCAACATTTTATGTAATGTGTTCATTAGAGTCGATAGCCATTCCCATCTTCCGCGTCTGAATAATTGATCCAATAACACAGCGTGCCGTTGATTTTTTACAATCAGCGATAAAGTTTACTATCGCCGATCGATATTATCGCCAAATAGTTATTAATTGAGACGACTGCTCTAGAATTTCCTGCCGTCTTTTCCTTTGTCTCCTGCTTAGTTTTATGTCCATGCGAATTACCTTAATTTCTTAATTTGCATATTAAAAATCCGAGTTTTTATAGATCCATAAGGTCCAGCCACACGAAAACGTTTTTCTGGTATTTTGTTTATCGACGGAGATCCCCAGACGAAAAAAAAAGCAGGGAGAAATTTACGATCTATACGTATTGAAAACCTTTGAGCAAAACCCATAAAAAGGTTGAAACCATCAAAATGGTAAATGCTACACAATGAAGTTTTGGAAAGGCATCTTGACTATTTGACGATCTCTTTATTTTAATTGTCAAACCAAAAGTTAAGGTATGAGGAAGTTATTTTAAAGTTCGATTGACTGAATTCAAAAACCAAAAATTAAAGAACGCAGGCAATGATTAAGGAATATAAAACCTACTTGAACTACACCGGAAATAATATAAATATATTTTTTTCTTCGTGTTATTCAAAACACTTCAAAATTCGACTTAAGTCTACTTGCTATAAAATTCCAGGGTACCATGAATATCTAACTCATTGTCGAACATAAAATCTCGCTCCTCCCTCATTTCTTTCCCAAATTAGTACAGAAATTGATGTCAATTTAATTGCGGTTTTAGGTGTAAATGGCAATTAGCGTGATGCGAGTGGACCAACCTGGAAAATCAGAGGGAAAGTGGAGAGGAGCATGTTGGCCTGTCGTCTAGGGCAACATTGTCACTAGACTTTAGGCCTGTCTTCCTGGCCTGACAGCTCGACATAAATGCCACACGCATGCCCAGCCAATCCCAATCCCAATCCAAAACCCAATCGCAATCCCAATTGCCTGCTGTGGTTCGATCAGGTCCGGTTTTTGGCCTTTTTCCTCGGATCTACGCAGTCCTGTCCTCTTCCGCACTTTCGGCCATAAAATCACAGAGCGATGCGCTTACAGTTGCTATCATTATTATTATTATTATTGAATGTTGTTCGGCGCTGGCGCATGGCATAAAGTAACCAAGCCAACGACCGATCATTAAGCCGCAAACTAAATGTTTGTCCGTTCGCATTTTCCGATTGAATTCCCGCTCATAATCTGGGATAACATTTCGTAAGCCTCTCTTAAGATCCAACCGCATAAATGCGTGTTTTATATAACGCAAATTGCGCGCATAAATCAAAAGCAACAAGTGGCGGGAGGATAAAGACATTTCGAAGGAGTACGAGAGGAAGTCTTACTAACAAAGAAGTTCCGAACCAAATGGAAAGAGATTCAACGTGGTAGATAAAATGTATGCTTGGCAGGAGAAAATTCAAGAGTTTTTGGTATAAAGGTAATTTTATATAAAAAGTATTAGGTGTGAATGACCAGCAAAGACATTTGGGAAGGTAAAGGAACTGAGTTGAGTATTTTTAGAACGCAAAAAGAAATTGAGGTGTTGACAGCGTGAAAATTCAATGCAAATAAAGTACATTAGTAATGCTGGCATCCTATTTATATAAATGAAATTTGTCTGAAACCTACACTTAATCTTAATTGCAGTACAAAGATTGAACGGAAATTTGGCAACTTTTTGCACTCATATTCATGAAAGCGACAAGTGCCATTTAACGGGGCTCGGACTACCAATTAAACTCCGTGCACATCAAAGACCTCCCAGTGTCGGCCGACTGGCGCGGGAACCCTCTCATATTCACCGACACTCCGCAAAGACAGTAGCTCAACCTGAAGCTGGAGTTGAGGCTGAATGCAGGTGGTGGTAGCCCTGGGGGCCGTCAAATTACCAGCTTCGGCCGATCCACCGATGGCCCTGCTAATAAAGCCGTAAAATTAAACGCCAACAGGCCGGGCAAAAAGTGGCCAGTTGCGCTTGTCGGCCAAGTCAAGAGGCAGTGATAAACGCCCAGAGACGTCTTGAATTGTTTATTCGCGTGCAAATAATTGCAGCAACCGAGCGGCAAGTTGGGGCGATTGTCTTGGCGATTGGCTGCGCATTGTAATCAGTTTGGCCACCGGGCCACCTTAAATAACGAGCTTCCCGTGTTGAGCGATTTGTTTTTTTTTGCCTTTTGCATTGGGGCGTGGAGGCGTCAACTAGCCAACCTAATGAGCCGCTAATGAGAAAGCAACGCTGCAGGTCTCGTCGATCAAATGGGGATACACCTGAACATTCGCCTTTTCCCCCCCTTGAATAATCCTCGATCATATCTACACCCGAATTTGAGATATGAGGAAATCTAGTTCGGGGGTGGGCGTTGCTGAATGAAAAAATAATTAAAATATTTACCCAAATGCCAGGCAAAAAGGCACGAACCTAACAGGCCAGCAAAAGCGAAACGAATCTCAAGGCATTTAAACGGGTTGCTGTGGCCAAAACCAAATGTAAACGCCCCAAATGCGGGCAGGCACAATTTGTATCTGGGTATCTATGTGTATCTGCAGTTGTATCTGGCTATATGGCCCACCCGACAAGGCCATAAACGTTATTTTTTTTCCGCTTTCGAGACTTCCTAAAGGTAGTAAACGAACGGAGAAATAAAATGTTAAGCACTTGTTGATTGGGCTAAAAAGAGTCGAGGGGAAAGACCGTCGATCCATTGAATAGAAATGTGGAACTTAAAGAAGTACTAATTTCAAAATGAACTATGTACCTATTTATTAATTTCAAGTATGCGTCTCGCCTAATGAAGAAATTAAATTAAAGAATTTACTTTTCAAGAATATTAAAGCCAATCAGCGACTTAATTAAAACTTTACGATTTCAATTTATTTATTTAGTAACAATTTGTTATAACGATTTTGCTATTTATTAAAGAGCATACTCTTTTTTATAGTGAACAAATTGTATTAAAATTAAATTTTTATTATATAAGGTGAGCACGCAGACAGTAATTGCGACATTTAATAAACTGGTGTCAATAACATACTTTTAAAATGATTAAAAAATTTTATTAAAATGTTATTAAGAAGTTAAACTTATATCGTAACCGACAACCGAGTAACCTGGATGAAACCACGAATCGCAAATCTAATCACATCCACATCTTGGGGTGGGGTTTGTATTGCCACCCAACGGCAAACTATTTCTTATTCGCCTCTTCGAATGTGTCCGAGCTGTCAGAAATAGCGAGAATTGCAACGGTTGTCGACAACAGCAATAAACCTCGAGAGAAACATAGAAACATTTATTTAATTAACTTGCATCACAGTTGTTGAAGTATATTAATAAAACATTTCAATTTTCATATTTTCCAGCCGCCAAACGCATGCTGCACACACTTTTAACGAGTTGGGGATCTGTCTTCGATTGTGAAACTTGTTTTAATGCCAAGTCTAGCCAATCGCTGAATTGATGCCACAGCAAAATGTTTTGGAAACAAAAGCCGAGATATGAGCAAGCAAGTGTCATAAATAAGAGCCCCAACAACTCGTCGGCTCATTAGCGTAACGCTTTGGAAAACTGATCGGCGGAGAGCTTCAAGAAGCGCCGCTCCAAACGACATTTGGAAAAGTCCAACTGGATCGCTCCGAGTGTCCCCGTCGATCGGGTCGGGCCCCCATGCCTGGGTCCATAAAACAAAATCAGTCTGAAATGAAAACATATCCATGGCTCGTTAGCATCCGATCTCAGCAGGGTGGTAGCAATGCCACAAGTGTTGCATGGAAAGTGGTGCACTAGGAAATATGCATAAAGTTGTGCCAGGGAAAATTGTCCGATAAATTGTCGAAAGAAAAACTCTTCAAGCTTTGGCAGTTATACGCTCCTTACAAAAAATAACATTACATGGTGTGATATGAAAAATACTATGTATTTTTATTTTCACCTTATCTTAGTGGGCAAAGTAATATTCTTCATTCAAACATACAACACATTTTGTATAGTTTTACAATTTTTCCACACATCTTTAAACTATAACGAAAGAAGATGCCTTCAGCAACCAAAGAGGAGGAGAGTAGGAAGTTCATGGTGGGCAGCAGTGACTCGGAGGCAGAAAACGAGGATCTAGCCTTCTTAAACTTGGTTCTCAGAAAGTTGAACATCAAAGATCAAGCTCTGTTGCATCGTCTCGTCGACAAAGTGCCCGATGCTTTCAATTCCCTGTGGCGGGATCAACACCAATGTTTGGATTTGGGGCGACTGCGGTGGAAGCTGCATGGATCTAACCTTGATTTGTTTTTACAGAACATGTGTACGGAATTTCGGAGTGTCCACTTTCGCAGTGAACAAATGCAGGAGGAATTGAACATCTTGGAGCAGGCAGATATTGAACGTCTAATTAACGTCAAGAGCTGTGAAATTTCTTGGGGTCAAACGAATAACAAAAAGAATAGAAACATTCCTCAATGGCCATTTCATGCCCTGCCAAAACTTTTGTGTAATCTTACCAACCTCATTATTCATGCTCCCGTTCAAGCCTGCTTTATCGAGCGATTCAAGAAACTGGAGTCTCTAAAGATCTATGAAGAAATATCTAGTACAGCTTTGGATGCAATTGTATCTACTGATGCGCCATTAAGGCAATTGCACTTATACGGAAATCACAGTCGACAACTTCTGGGAATCTCAAAGTGCAAGAATCTTAGTAATCTATTGATTGATCTTCACACGTTTTTATCAAGTATGAATGAGATCCTTCAGTTGCCGGACCTATTGGTTCTACGGCTAAATCAGCTTAAAAAATGCGGTCAACTGAAAACTTTACAGCTAAATTGCAGTTTTATGAATCACAGCAAATGGCTTACAAAGTTAGAACTCAATCGCTGTCATAGTTTGGATGAACTTGAGTTGGTGGATTGCAAATTTGAGAACCAGAATATTAGCAAGATGTGTCTGCCCGTTTCCCAAAGCTATGCTATGTTTTGTAATTGCCCCGATCTTATCGATGACCAACTTTTGGACTTTATAAAGGCCAGTCCCAATCTTAAAGAACTTGTACTTATCAAGTGCCCAGAAGTGACGGAAGAACTTCTTAATGGTGTTGTGAAAGTGAGGCGCACCAGTGGAGAGAAACAGGATCCTTTGCTATTCCGGGTTAAGGATTGCCAGAATATTTCGGATTCTTACCATAAGAACGTAAGTTTTTGCAATATATATGTACATTTTCTATTAAACTTAAACTTATTTCGGTTATTAGTTGGCCAGTTGGGCCCGAAAACGATCTCTACTCAAAATGGAGTTCATAATGGAAGACTACATACCTATAGATCATGTCCAATTTATCTTTCACGAGCCACAGCGAGACTTAAACATTTATAATAATGAATCATGAGTAAACCAGGAGCTATAGTAGAAGAATTGCAGTTAATATTATTCCTTTCAAAAAGTAGCTTATAATAAACATTTGTAAAAAAATAATTGAAGTTTCTTTGTTATAACTTTCAAAAGAAAACATGATTAAATACTTTTTCTTGGAACTAATATGTAGAACATCAAAGATAGGATCGATCGCTAAGGCCATCCATATATTCCACACATAAAGAAGCTTAGCCTGCCTTTTAGCTGTAATTAATCTTGAGTCTATCAGGTGGCATCAAACCAGTCTGTATGGACTTCTCCTCTTGCTAATTGGCCGCCTGCCATGTGGCGATTTGTCATAGTCACCGACTCCACCACGCATGCGCCACGCATGTGGTGGCCGCCCAACGCCCCTCTTGCCCCACCACGCCCCCCTTCAATTGGCAAAAGCCACACGCAACAGCTACACGATTTTCAACAACAAAATTTGTCATATGTGACGATGGCTTGGCTTTTTCGCTTCTCGACAACTTTTTTTTTCCGCATTTTGTGCGTTTCGGTGGTTTGGGCTTTGAGCATTTTGTCAGTGGCGACCACCGTTGTGGAATGCAAACAAATTTGTGAACATGACGCAGTTTACAGCTCCACAACTGCGACTGTCGCTGTGGCCACCCATTGTTATAATTATTGGGCGCCCGTGTGCAAGTGACAATTTAGCTCTGGTTCTCCGGCTTTTTCAGGACCGACATTTGTGGGCCAAATCGAGTGGCGATGGTATACAAGCGACATGTGTTGAAAGTCGTTCGAAGACAGCTGTTTTGGTCGAAGTTTTCCAGGATTTGTGATCGAAGAGTAGCCATAAATTTAATAAAAGTTGCCTGAGTTATTTTGCTATAAGATCTATTACGATAATTTAAAAATGATTTAGTTTTTTTAAACCAAACTAATTTAGAAAAATGTCATAAATATTTGAAAGCCCTTTTTTTACTTCTTTAGCTTAAAATATTATATTTTTATTTTTAAGCTTATTGCTTCCCCATATTCGATTTCATCTTTACGACTCTCTAGAAATCACGAATACGAAGACCTTAATAACTTTTGCGACCTCTGTCTGCCCTCGGCCTTTAGTCAGTGAGACGGTGAGCCAGTTTCGGAGTCGGGAATCCGACTTGACCAGATCCCTGAGATCCCTGAGCTTGGGCACTAATTCGTTTTCACACTTTTCATGCATCGGACAGGTCGAAATGGCTTCAGGCGCATTGGCAGCGCCTAATTTCATACGCCAGTCTTAGATCGCGCACCCCTCTCCTGCACTGAAAGAAATCCTGATATGATATGAAATAAATTCAAATCAGATAAAGATAAGAAGTCAACAGTAATCTACTTTATAAACCAGATTCACCACAATATTAAATGAACATCTTTTTTTTATTGATAAGCCAGGTTATTAAATTCATTTTTATACTGCAAGCTTGTAATGTGTCTTTGAGTTTAGTTAATATCCAACTAATAGAAAAATAAAAATTTGTGTTTTATTATTAGTTATCAATTATGGTGTCTGTTTTTCCGGTGCATGCGCCACCCGTTTTCGAGTCCGCTAATATTTATATTTGCCCTGCATTTCTCACTCTGCCGATTGCCAGCGATTTGATAAGCAAATGGAAATGCAGCTCGCCGGAGAAAGAGAACCACATTGGGATGGGAGGAGAGGGCGGTGGTGCCGAAGGAGGCCAGTCAGTCGATGGCGGCGAAAGGTGCAAATAAATAATTTGCGGTAGCCAGGCGGCGACCACTCGACGACCCACTGTTGGCCTACCAACACTCGCACCACTCCGATCCACTGAAAGCGACGGCCAGACAAATATTTTATTGCAAATTTGCTGATATTGGACGACAGGCGGCCACTGGAGCAGTTTGTAATGCTGCTGCTGCGGCTCTTGTCCGGCTGTTTTGCATATTAAATTTATTTTATTGAATATAGGCAAAGATTTAGTTAGATACGCGAGGATGGATTGAGCAGTTGCCGAAAAACTTTATTATCCGCTTTTGAACAATTTATATATATGGATTGTACTAAGCTATTTACTTGATTGATCAAAAACAATAGCTTTTTTTAAAATAAAAAATAAATATGTTTAAATCATTAAAAATTGGTATACTTTTGTTTCCTAAAGAACTTCTGGTTCCCTTTAAAACACATATTGAAAATCTTCTAGTAAAACCTTTCCAAATATCTTGAGAAGTTTTTGAAGTCCTCGTACCACCCACTTGGTGGGCAGCATATGCATTTTTCCAGCTCATTGTGCTACTCTTTCCTGGCTCCCGCCGGCGGGGTGGCGCATAATTGCCATCGGATTCGGACGCAGTGGAAGGAGGAGGCCCAGCGGGCGATGAATTATTAATTGCCGTTGATTTGCATTGAGATTTGCCCGGTCCGGGATCATTACCGGGAACGGCAATCTTGGCCAGCGTGTGTATAGTGTAAACATAATAATCAACGGGCATTATATGCCGATATATGGCGATCAGTAGAATGCGCTTTTGCAAAATGGCCGGCGGTCAGCGCGGCCCCCAATTGACACCTGAGCGGCCGAGTTGCCTATTATTGCTATTATTGTTGCTGCCGTTGCAGCAGTAATTGTTATTTATGCACTTGCATTTAGCCGGCTGTAATGGCATGTGGCCGAAGCCATGCCCCCCGGGATGGGCGTTACGCCGGCAATTTGCAGTGCTGCGAACGCTTACGTAACAGTTCGAGCAGAGAAACCTAATTGTGGGTCGGAGAGAAGCACAATGATGTCAAAATTAAATTGTATTGGCCAGGGCCGGCGGAAGGTGTATACCGGGTGTTGAGCACTCCACACGCCAAATCTTAGCGGGTGTGGAATTCAACACCCCAAAATGCTTGACTTGTAGAAAAAAATTTATTTACATCCATTATTATCAGTTGAATGTATGATTCAAAACTGTTTCTCCGGCCCTGCATATAGAGTATATCGAAGAAAAACGAAGAGAAATCCCGCCTTTACCACGGCCCAATTAAATCAGTTCCTATTTAAATAGATAGATAGTAACTCTCCCAAATACTTCCCAAGTTAAGCATTTTCCAACTTAATGTAAAAACTACTTAAATAATGATGAGATTATCATAAATAAATCTTTTCAGTTTGGTACTTACTCAGTTAGCTCCTTGATCTGCACTGCAATCTTTCGTCTTCTTGAAGTAAGATAATCACCGCAACCACTTTATTCGCAACATTAACACTTAACACTTTACCCTGAAATTAAATAAGAAAAAAAAATTATAATAAATAACTTGTTACAAATAATAATAGTTAGAATTATTTTGTTAGTAAAAAAGGTATTTACCTCTTTTGGTTTTTTATTCACTGCATCTTGAAGTTCACTCCAAGCAGAACGGAATAGTCATCACTGTAATGAAAAGAAGCATTCCAAAATATTAGTTAAATTATTTTATACAAATCGGTTGTTTAAAAAATACATACCCCAATGAGGTGATGCACTGCATCCTGGAGTGGAGTTCAATAAGATAACCACTGCAACCACTTTATCCGCAACATGTACACTTTACACTTTACCCTGAAATTAAATAAGAAACAAAATAATAATAAATAATTTGTAACAAATAATAATAGTTAGAATAAATTTGTTAGTAAAAAAGGTATTAGTAAAAAAGGTATTTACCTCTTTGGGTTATTGATTCACTGCATCTTGAAGTACACTCCAAGTAGAAAGGTATAGTCATCACCTGTAATGAAAAGAAGCATTCCAAAATATTAGTTAAATTATTTTATACAAATCGGTTGTTTAAAAAATACATACCCCAATGAGGTGATGCACTGCATCCTGGAGTGGAGTTCAATAGAAGATCACGCCATTCATAATTGATCCTGCAGCCTGTTGTCCAGTCCATTTATGTGGTGTCAGCATACTATATATTTCCGGTAACCGCATTCTTACAACTATTACTATATATATACTACATATATTTATATTATATGTCGCTACTTGTTTACAATTATTAATTGTGTTTGATTTTCATGTACTTCAAGTTCAATATTTGATAAAATTTACCTTTCAAATTTCTTTCATGTTCTTGAAAACTTTCAGATCTTTATCTGTTTCTTTTAGTTTCTTTGTCAAAATATTTATGATTTTTTAAAATATATAACTTAATTATTTATTGTCTAAAGGATGTACTCACTGCGTAATAACTTTGGTGCAGTGCATCCTGATGTCGAACTTCAAGTTACAAGTTGGATGGTGTCACCAATTATTTTCTGCAATCAGCCAAATACACAACCAAAAACCTGAAAAAAAATATTAAAAAAATTGAATTAATTAACTGCATTTTTTTTACAAAAGCCACGTCATCACATAATTAAAAAAAACTGCAACTCACCTTTTCAGGTTTGGATGCCCTGCATCCTGGAGTCCACTACATGCAGGAAGGGATCGGGCACCTTTAAGTTCATGCCAAGTCAGGTCATGATGCAGTGCATCCTAGGAGGAGTCGACCCATGGTGCACTGCATCCGGGAGTGGACTCCAGTAGGTGGAGTCACCCAAGATGCACTGCATCCGGGAGTGGATTCCAGTAGGAGGAGTCGACCCATGGTGCACTGCATCCGGGAGTGGACTCCAGTAGGAGGAGTCGACCCATGATGCACTGCATCCGGGAGTGGACTCCAGTAGGAGGAGTTGGCCAGATACTCTCTCCCACTCTGGAACCACGTCACTAACACACACGCACACACACACACTTCCAGAGACCGGAAAAAGTTTCTTAGAGAAACTGCCGGTCATCCCGGAGAACTGAGAAATTGGCCAAAATCAAGGGGTATCCCACTACGAATCAGCCAGAACCACTTGGGAATTATAGGTGCGAGAAAACGAAAAAAATAATTAATTATCATTGTCGCTGACGTGGCCATATTAATTTAATTAAAATATAAAAAAAATTTCGGGCACCCCCCGAAATCTTTAAATTCAAAATTTTTTTCTATTTAAGATTTTTCATTAAAAAGTCTTCAGTAGAAGAAACCTGACCTAACAGGAACGTATAGATCAGTAGACTGAAACTAAGCCAAATTTAATTTAATTTATTGAATTTATTCGAATAAGTCCACATTTTTTATTGATTTTTGTCCTTGAGCACCCCCCGAAAACAAATTTCTGGATACGGGCCTGTCTCCGGCCCTGGTCCCTTTCCTTTATTTTGGTTCTCATTTATTTGTGTTATCCCGTTATAAGGAAACCTAATCAGAATCACACAGATGCACGCACACATGCACGCCTTTTCAAGATGGCGGACGCAACAAAGGCAAAAAAAGTAAAACGTATTTATGTACATATGTAACTATGAAATCAGATAAATAAATAAACCTCCAGACTTTTTTTGGGCAGGGCACACGCGCTTAAGTTATACTTGAAAAAATCGCGGATGACTACTGTGCAATCCCGGGAATCCAAGGGATAAACGACGAAGAAAAACACAAGCAAAAAAATAAAGCGCAGTTGCCCTCCTTTGTTGTTGCACTTAAAGTCGCTAAAATGCGGTGTGCTCGCTTGTCAAAACTGCGCTGGCACCCAGACTGTTTTTTTTTAATGTTAAGAAGCCACAAAGAGATGACGCAGTTGAAATGGCCAAATGAATTAACCCTTTTACTTTGCACACAGTGGCTACAACAACAAAAGCCGCCACTGGTTTTTATTATTTTGCTGGCCGTTCTTGGACTTTTTGGACGACACACAGATTAATCTACACCACAGGAAAATATTCAACGTTTAAGAAAAAATTGTCACACAATATAAAATTTAAAAATAACAATTAAACATTATTTTGTAATCTGATTTTATACTTAAGCATAAAAGTTTTCTGAATCTCACAATTAAATTGATCTAAAAATTATCAAAAATAGAAATATATTTTTTTATATTAAAGAACTAATCAATTTCGAAGTTTCTTCTGTGCACAATTTTAATTCCCGAAGTTAGGCGTGCTAACATTTTGGCAGTGCACTGGCCAAGTCGTGTGTACACATTTACACATTTATTTAAATGCTTACCTTTGCGCTTGGGCTACCTCTCGGCACTTGAGCTCAAGCTCAAGCTTCAGCTGAAGCTCAAACTGAAGCTGAAGCACGGTGGAGAATTGCGCGTAAATTCGTTGCGGTCTCGCGTCATCAACGTAATCGCCGTCAACAGCAGTCAACAGCATCAAACTGGCAGGCAAATGTTGCTACTGTTTCCAGACGCAGTCCGTCCGGCAACAGAGGCCGCAGAAGCACCAAGAGCACCAGAAGCACCAGCAGCCAACGTGAAGTGGTTTTTTTTTATGATGGGATGGGATGAGATGAGCCGAGCCCAAACAGCACTTTCCAACCAAGAGGACGGGGCCACAAACAAAAGCGTGTCTGTCGTCTTCGGTAATGGGAAGTACGTTTCTATACCTGTACGAAATACACACTGTGGAACCCTTTTGGATGGCAAGACCCATAAACAACTTCTTGCAAAGGGACGAATTAGGAACTACTTTGAGTGGGTGAATGAAATACTTATTCGCTAAACACATATTTAAATCCTAAAAATCTGATTATCATAAAGACAAAATAAAAAAGTTGCAAGTGGTAAATCCATAACAGTGTCAACAAGAATTTCAGTTTACTGAAAAATAAAATAATCTAAATTGAAGGCAAGTAGATTTAAACTTCATACAGCCGTAGCCAGGTCGTAGTTGAATTTTCAGTGAAAGTTGTGTCAAGTGTTGCGAAGAGACTGTGAAAATGAAGATCGATTTGAATCAAATGGCGCCGGTGCTTTTTGCATTATACACGATAGAGACATTGATCAACATGTTTCTGATCCACTTCAATCTAAAAGATTTCGTTGTCATCAACCTGAGGGATTTTGAGGACAACCTGCCGCACATCTTTTACGTATGTGTTTATTACATATTCACACTGCTAACGGCCTTTGCCAGCATTAACTTGTGCACCGGAAATCAATTCTCGATTATCGAGGAAGTCGTGCGTCCGCTGTTCGGTTTTATTACCTACACGGTCTGCTCTCTGTTGACACTGGGCATGGCCGAAGCGGACACAAATGTTCTGTATAGAGGCAAACAGGCACAGGATCTGTCCCTGCCGGAGAAGCCATTGCATCCGTACTTTGACCATTTGCGCTATCAGGCAAAGGGCGCCCTGGTGGCCAGTGTGGTTTACCTGCTGCACTTCTTCACCGCCCTGGATGTCCTGCTGTCGAACGAGGAATCGGAACAGGACAACGAACAGAAGGACGCCGAACACGATGACGATATTGTCGAGGAGGAGGACTACGTCCCAGTGCGTCTCTATATCTTCGGGAGAGTCGTGCACACCTGGCTGGAGCAGTTTGAGTGGTTCCAGAACTTCACTAGAAGTGGAAAGAGATCAATCTGAATTAATATCTTATGTTAAAAGATTAATTATATATATAATATATATATATATATTGTCTATTTATTATTTGAAGTAATAATACCTTTAATACCTGATACCTTAAACTTGGTATACTCATGCTAACTTCTAAACTTAGGATGTGGTATCCGTAACCATCTCCCTTGGCAATTATGCAGGCTTTTGTTTCGGCCCCGTTTTGTTTTAGGTTTTCGCAACGTAATATCCATCGGTATGCTTATGACGTCAGTGGGAAGCAACAGTTACGGGGTGCATCACACGAAACTCATTGTCGTCAATGTGTCAACGATAAGCAGCTGGGACCTCAACTATAAAATCGCGTTGGTATCTGTATCTATTCGGGCGTAGTGCGCAGGTCCGCAGCCGGAGAAAGAATCGATAAATTATGGGGCAGAGCGGCAGTCAAGAGCAAGGTAAAGCATTGCCCCGGTGCTCCTGGGTGTGGTGCTTTCATTCATAAAAAACTGGTGTATATTGTATGTCCGAAGACTTCTCCCTGTGGACTTACTCAAGGCTATTTTTAACGCAGGCCCAAGGCTGCCGGCCGGATGTCGAGGATTCGCAATAGAAGTTTTCCCTTTTGCTCCCCATAAAATATGGCATGAAATTACCGAGACCATCTGCCATTCGGCAATCAATAATTTTAACAAATTTCCGGAACGTTCCTAACCACTTTTGCAATTGCTTAATTAGTATTAGGCAAAAGAAATTCAGTCAAGCAATTGACTTTTGAAAGTAATTGCAATCAGTAGGAAAATACAAATATTGTAGCATACTTTTTGGGGAGTTATTGGAAAATCCTCAAATTATGGATAGCAGTATTAAATTGCAGTATTAATTTAACTACACGGGCTGATACGATTTAGGTTCCATTTGTAAATAAACAAGAATTAAAGTACAAATAATTTGCGCAAAATCCACAATCAAAATAAAAGTCAGGAAGTCAATGAAGCTGGCTTTAAATGAAAAGGCCAACGAGGAGGAATAAATCTTCACAGATTTCATTCAACAAGGAGGAAAAATGTATTTTCGCCCACGCTGAAAGCGAATGTGAAAAGTACATAAATGCGAAAAGGGAAAATCGATAAGGACGCCATGCCGCAGGAGCGTTGTGTCCTTGAAATCGAAAAGGGAAAGAGCCATTCATGAAATTAGCCGAAGTTTTCATGAATGAAAATGGAAAGCGAGGATTCAGGAGAACCGCGTCGGGATTTGGTGAGTATGCGCCAGTTATTTCGGTTTACTTCGATGGTTTCGCACTGGCTTTCACTTCGAAAACTTCCCCTCATTTCTGGGCACTGACGTAACCAACAATGCGTTGCTCCAAGGTCAGCGTAAAATTTCATTCATAAAACTGATACGCCCTGTGGCGTAGATATACAAACGTATATATGTATATGTATGTAAGTGAATCTTTGGCGCGTGTAAGTTCCCAGGGGGTTGGTCGATTGGATGGACGGGGTGCTTGGGATTTGGAGCCACCAAATCGACTGCGGATGTGGGCTAAACGAGCACTCCATTTGCAGCTTGTTGATTTTTCTTCTACGCGTGCAAACACAAACAAAGCGGGAAACCTTTTCATTCATGAAACCAACTGGGGGTTTCCACAACCACGGCCATTTGATTTCCGCACCCGTATTCATCGCAAAAAGCTTGGGGCCCAAGAACAATTTTCTGGAGCGAATTCAGAAAACAATTTCGCACTAAGCTGAAAGCAAATTTGGCCCCCAGAAATTTTGAGGTAAACGTAGTCTTTTCGTTTGCTTTTAAATGAAGCTGACTGTCTTTTTACTGACTACAAAATGGCAAAGGTTAAAGAAATAAATGTTGCGTGAGTTTGTATGCGAGTATGTATGTAGTCAAAAAATTTCCCAAAGGACATAACTTTTATTATAAATTAAATAACTGATACTTTAAAACAAATATTACATTTCATTTGAAATCTTTTGATTGGAAATTGTGTTTATATAATGTACGGCGCGTATTATATAAACAATATTAGACAACTTTTAGGCAAGAGGAGTCCCCCGGTGAGCACAAGATACTCCGTTCATTGAGGATATTGAAAACAACAATATGTTTTGGAAAATAAATTAAACTTTATAATTCAAATATTCAAAAACTTTTGTTAATTTTCAATCTGTTATCTTTGGTTGACAAAAAAATAAATTATTTGTCTTTAAAACTGAAAGAATACACATTTAATAAATGTACAGCTTCCTCACACACCTCTTATAATTAAAGTACAGTAAATTTTGTGGACAAAATCTGTCTTGTTTATTTTATTTTTTAAGTGCTTAATAACAGCCATTAGGTAGTTTTAAATGTGACCTTGCCGAAAACTGATTTACAAAGTTTACAGAAATACGATTGGGCACACCATCTACAGGATTTTGAGGCACAGTTTGATATTCTAGAGAGAACATATTTTTAGCTACAATCTAAAATACATGTTAAATCCATCCGCACTTATTATAAAAGATCAAAAACGCAACTACGTACAAGGTAAAATCAAATATAATAATAAATTAGCTTCGAGTTATGGCTACAGCTGTGTCGTTTGGTTGCCGCTGGTGAGTCCGGAAGTCGCTCCCTTCTCCACCATGCTGGGAATGCCCGGCTCCGATTCAGATCGCTTGTGCGTTCGCTTTGGCAGCCGTTGGGTGGCCTGCTTGGCCTTAAGGCTCGCCTCTCCGCCGCCGGCAGAATCTTTGAGCAGCATCAGATCCGGCTGGCTTCGCACAAGATCCTGTTCCTGGTAAACCTCCTGGACGGCGGTGCTCGCATTGGTATTGGTCACTTGTTCGTTAAGACAAACATCATCCAAATCCACATCGCTGTTCGAGAAGAGAGCTGTGGCGCCCAGCTCCAGGGAGTTGGTAACGTCCAGCTCCTGCTCACTGACCGCTTTCTTTGGCGTAGACGTGGATGCGATGGAGGCACGCGAGAAATTGTGACTAACATCGAGGTTAATTGTGGCATTGGGTGGGGTCAAATGTGTTGTCACTTGTGCTGGCTTCGAGCCAATGCTATTGTTATTATTATTGTGATTCTGTCCGCCAATCGAAGCCGTTGGGACTGGTGCAGCTGTACCTATAACGGGCACATTGGTCATGCTGCTCGGCGTAGAACTATTTCGCTCTGTCTGATGTTCCTTCATTAGTTTGCAGGCCTTGCCCAGTGCACAGATGGTCAGGCAAATTCGCAAGCCCATGGCAAACAGATAGGCCAGCAGGAAGAGTATCCAGGCGGCGAAGTTCTCAAATGAAACTGCCGTATAAATCGCTTTTATCAGGACCACGGCCAAGGGAAATGGTATAAAGCCCATGCGGCGGGCCACCAAATCTGAGTGATCCGAGAAAGCGTGCTTTTGCCTCGTCTGGGTCATATCATAAGCCAAACTGGTTGTATATTCCCGGTAGATGCTTTCCGGCAGCTCATTGAATCTCGTAATAAACGCGTGCTTCACCCAATCGATGAGGATTTCCGTAAACAGCACAGCAAAGCAGTCGGGTAACATCACACAGAACTGGGTGATACTCCAGTCGAATTCCTTCATGGTCTGAATGACCACAATGAACAGCAGCACAGACAAGTGGAAGCGCTCTCTCACATCGCTGCAGGTCAACTGGAACAGGTTGTTTTTGTCGAACTTCTTGAACACTGATCCTTTGAGCTCCACAAAGTTGTTCGATATCATGATGGTCAGCAGGCCTTTATTGTTCGAGTTGACTGCCACATTTAAACAGGTGGCCTAAAAGATATATTCAATCATTATTACAAAATTTGAGGTTTTTTAACAAATAAAAAAACATTATTATTCACCTGGAACATAATCAGTCCACTATGCAAAAACACATAGATCAGGGTGAAGAGTACGTGCGTAAGAACACCGAAATGTTCCCGCTTGGAATTCTTTGGTTCGGTGGCCGTCCAAAAGAGAGCATCGATAGTATCCTGACCAAAGGCGGACAAAAGGCGGTCGCCCACCTCCAGCATGTTGTAGAATATGTACAACTTAATGATCGACTGTGATTTGATGATGTGGTACACTCGATTTGTGTCCACCAGGAGCATTATAAGCGTCACTGTCATCCAAATGACGCCCTTGAGCAAATCGCAGATTTCTGCAGGCGACAGCAGCCTTTGTCCGCTGCTACGAAGGCGAAAAATCCTCGCCACTGTCCTAGAAACCAGAGCCCAAATGGCCATCAGGAAACGGACGGGCAGAAAGGTATGGATGTATAGAAAGGAGTCGGCACACTGCATGATACCGTAGACCATGAAACGCTCCAGATCCCGCGGTATGCGCATGAAACTGTAGATCTTCTGGCGGCGCGCCGAATAACGCTCCTCATCGTGCTCCAGCATATAGCCTCGTGTCATTTCCACCTTGAAGAAGTCGTAGAATGTGTTGGTGCAGGTCTCTGTTGTTCCTTTAAATTCCAAAAATATTTTGAATTGTTATTTTTATCTAAATGAGGTTTTCCCTCAAAATATATCCATGTTTACCGCTCTGCAGCCGCTGCTGCGCTGCTCCCGCTGCAGGCGTCGCAGTCGGCGTCGCTGCAACGTCATCCTGGGCGAGCGGCGCCTGGGCCTTTTGCTTATTCTCCTCCTGGTGATGATGCAGTTCCTCCACACGGCTGCCGGTGGTGACGTCACCGCGAAAGCGCAGCTGCCGCTTACCGCCTGCTGAATTCAGTGAAGTGTTCATTAAGTACGATGTGTGGAATCCATAAAATTAATAATAACAACGAGCTGTGAAACGTCTATGTGAACTAGCAATGTTTTGGAAATGTACTAATGCCTGAGAAAAATACCAATAGGTAAACACTGAATGTATATATCGGCTAAAAGAAACTATCGCTTAAAATCACAACATTGCAAAACAGTACGCTCCAACTACAAGTTTTTAAATTTGTGGCATGTGTATTTTTAAGTTTTTTATATATTTTATTGCTTGGTAAACAAATTATTTTTAAAACAAGAGTGCAAGAATAGAAATACAATTTGTCACAAAAGTGTTTTCGCGTGAAGATTTTTTTAGAAATTTCCCATTCTTATTGAAAAAAAAAGCACTTTGCATTTAGTTTTGAGAAAGATTTTTTTATTTTATATTATTTATGTATTTCTTAAGAATACCCAAAAAACAAAACATAAATTTTCCATCTAACAAAAAAGATATAACAAAAACAAAAAAAGTCAACATATTTTCCACTGTCAAATAAGTGTTTTCGTTTTAAGGAACTGGGTGATTACTTAACGCTAATCTTATAATAATAATATTTTTTAATATTATTTAATATTTGGTATGATGCCCTTTGGCCTTAACAACAGCTTCAAGCCGTAATTTCATTGAATTAATTAGTTTTTCTATATAATCTATTGGGATCTGATTCCATTCTTCTAAAATAAATTCCTTTAGCATTGGTCGCGATGTGGGATGCCTTTTTGCGACCTTCTTTTTCAAATACGCCCACACATTCTCTATAGGGTTGATATCCGGGCTCTGGGCTGGAGTCTCAATCACCTTACCGCAATTATAGAGCGTCCACATTCGTACACTGTGAGCCTTATGTTTTGGGTCGTTGTCTTGGTAAAACTTAAAGCTGCTCCCAAAACCAAATGTGTTCGCGCTGTTTACCAAATTTGTTTTTAAAATGTCAAGATATTGTTTAGCATCCATCGTATTTTCGATAAATACTATATCACCCACTCCTTTGCTTGAGATGCACCCCCACACCATGACGGACAGCTTGCCGAATCTTACAATCGGTATTATGTTTTTATTTTGTAGGGCACACAACGGGTTTCGCCACACTCGATTGGATCCTTCGTTATAATATAACATTATTTTCGACTCGTCACAGCAAATCAAGTCGTTCCAATAGCTTGGGGGCTCATCCAAAAGAGTTTGAGCGAATAAAAGACGCCTTTCAACATTTTGTTTTGATAATAGGGGTTTTTTCTAGCTACTCGGGATGTGAAATTATGGCTTCTGCGAATTGTTTCATGAAAAACATCCACTCCACATTCTTCTCTTACCTCCACAGCTAGTTTTCTTGTTGAGATCATGGGGTTCGGGTCTACTTTTTTCATTAAAATCCGAATAGCTCTGTTTGAGAGCTTACCCGGCCGACCATTTACTGGCTTATTTTCGAGCCTATTCTCATTTTTTGCCCGACTTATTATATTTTGGACAGTTCTTATATTCAATTTAAACAAATTTGCAATGTCTGCAGTACTATTCCCAATGGTATGGTTGTAATATACCAATTGGATCACATCAAAAGAAACTCTTTTGCCCGGCATTGTAAAACACCTATTTATACGACTATTAACGTCTGTAAGTACAGAGAACTGACATTGAACAGCTCAAAATGCATATTTATATCATCTAGTCGACCCTAAAAGCATATTCTAGAAAAAAAATTCGAGAAAACACCAGAAATGTAAAAACGAAAACACTTATTTGACAGTGGAGATTATGTAGACTTTTTTTGTTTTTGTTATATCTTTTTTGTTAGTTGGAAAATTTATGTTTTGTTTTTTGTGTATTCTTAAGAAATACATGAATAATATAAAATAAAAAAAAATCTGACTCAAAACTTATTGCATAGTAGTTTTTTCTTAATAAGAATGGGAAATTTCTAAAAAAATCTTCACGCGAAAACACTTTTGTGACAAATTGTAAATCACAATATTTGCGTACCAATAAGTACTGCAAGTGAATCGGTCACAGCAAGCGACGGAAAGATGCTTATCGAAAAAGCTATCGCTGGACTACCGCCTCTAAATAAACGCATAGAAAATAATTATTTAGTTTATATCTGAAAAAATGTCCGCATCCGTGGAATTAAGCTCGTATCGCGACCAGCACTTCAAGGTAAGTATAACCCTCAACCATTGCATCAATTATTCAAACATAAACTGCATTTTAGGGCTCTCGTTCGGAGCAAGAACGTTCGCTTCGCGACTCGACTACTTTATATGTGGGAAATCTTAGCTTCTACACGACAGAGGAGCAGATTCACGAGCTATTCTCCCGATGTGGCGATGTCCGGGTTATAGTAATGGGTCTAGACAAGTACAAGAAGACTCCTTGTGGATTCTGCTTCGTAGAGTACTACATAAGATCCGAGGCGGAGGCGGCCATGAGGTAAGACATCTTCGATAGGAAAAGCCACATTGTTCCCGGTAGATGAAGAATTTTCTAGATTTATATTGGTTGTATAAAAGTTTCAAAGATCTACCGTAAAATAACAAAAATAGCCTCGGATTGGTCAACATAATCTATAATTGGAAATTAAAATAGTTAAGAGCGGGCCCTCTCACAGACCCATAAAAAACACCGCTTTCTCCGATTTAAAATATCTAGTACTTTCGATTTTTAACACCTGTTTAAGACCGTCAGATTAATGCCATTTATTAATTTAACTTGTCCACTCTTAAACTTGTGTGGATAGTCTTTAGTTTATTAAAACTATGAATTGGCGGGAAAATGAATATTATCATTAAATGATTTTCTTATTGAAATGTCTGTTTCTGTTCTACATATTAATTTAATCTAATATCTTTTCCCGACAAAGATTTGTTAATGGCACACGCTTGGATGATCGACTGATTCGAGTGGACTGGGACGCTGGATTTATTGAGGGCAGGCAATATGGACGCGGCAAAACCGGCGGACAGGTGCGTGATGAATATCGCACGGATTACGATGCCGGACGAGGTGGCTACGGCAAACTATTGTCCCAAAAGATCGCGCCAAACACTGACAACCGCTAAAACTAAGATAAGATTAAAGACTAAGCCCACAATTAGAAATTAAAGCAAACACTTAGTAATAACATCTCTAATCGCATATATTGTACGTACTACATAGTTCTTCAGAAGACGTAATTGATATCATTGCGGCCTAGCATTAATGTGAGTTTCAAGCGTTTTTTTTTTTTTTGGAAGCTGGAATCAATTTACTTCTTGCCAATGTTGTTGGCCAACGAGCAGCTGAGGCCGGTACCATCGGGCTCCACATTCAGCTCGGTCACCTTGCCATTCTCCACCACCAAAGAGTAGCGCTTGGAGCGCACGCCTCCAAGTGGCGGCAAATCAATGGTCACATCCAGGGCTTTGGTGAATCCACCAGCGGGATCGGCCAGGAGACGTACCTTTCCAGCGGCACCGTGCTCCTTGCCCCAGGCAGACATGACGAAGGGGTCATTGACCGAAACGCAGACGATCTCGTCAACACCTTGCTTGGACTTCAGTTCATCGGCGGAGCTCACATAGCCGGGCAAATGGGTCTGTGGGTTAAAAAAATACATTATTCAGGTTTGTTAGGTGCCGAGTAAATTACACCTTGCTACGAGAAAAATATTTATTTTGAGGGCTCGACTTATGCAATTAATAAGTTTAAAGAATAAATAAAATTCTTTTTGGTTATGCTTCATTAAGTTTTTTAATGGGATTTTTTTAATTGGCTTTTGTACGCATTTTTCGGATGACCTAACAGTTTTCAAATACGTTTTATTGATTTTAACCCCATACAAATGTATATGAATAAATTTCTGAATTTTGTTCCTGAATTCATATTCTTTAATAATTAAATTTAAAAGTAGTTGGTAAAAAATACACATTTTCTGGGAGTAGTAGGTTCCCATTGCGTAGTGTTACGTACCTTGGAGCATCCGGGAGTAAATGCACCAGGCACGCCGAAAATGATCACCTTCTTGCCGTTGACCAGATCGCCGGTGTTGATCTTGTTGGCCGGGGAGTCCTCAAAGAGGTCCACTGCGGGCAGAGAGTCACCTACCTGAAAAAATGTGAAACAAAACACACACTTATGTAGAAAGAAGAGGCGGAGGTAACCTTGAAGCGCTGCAATTTCTCATCCGCTGCAATCAATATTTATACAGGTCTTCCCACCGGCTTATGTAATGGCCCTGGGCACTTTGAGCGCCGGAATCGTGTTTTCCGGTGACCTCCACTTACTTTAACCATGGCTGGGGTTGTTCTGGATAAAGATCGCAGTGAAGTGAATTGTTGCGGCAGTGCGGAGTTCACAACTCGGCCAAGAAATTTGCACGACAGCACACGCATTTCTCCTCTCTTTCTTCTTGTCACACACAAACGCACACAGTTACAAACTGCATCTGGTGATAGGGTTGCCAGACCGCAGTAAAAAACAATATGGGTTGTACTTTTTCAGTCAAGCCTTAATTTTTACTACCTCGTTTTTTTGGGGGGAAATAAAAACAACATGTTGAGGGATCGATTTTAGTCATATAAAGGGTGGGTTTTTAGTCAGGCTATGTGCCTGCTCTGCTCATTATACTGTCCGCCAATCTTTCCAAATCATCCAGGCTCTGTTCGTTAATTTTCCTCTCAAAATCAGCCATAAACTCATTAGTGAGACGTTCAGCCTGGTTTTCCGGATAGTGCTTCCGAAAGCCCCGCAAAATGCTGTCCCTCAGGCAGGGTTTCATGACCACAAGGTTAAGTTTGGAGCCGTCTTTGATGTTCGGATAGGATGAAATGGTTTGCTCATTATTCAGGGGACGACCCAGCAGCAATAACTTCTGATTAGCCGCCGATATATGGAGTTGCTTTTCGATCTGTTGTTTCACTTCCAGAATCGTGGATGTCGGCATGACCTGCAGTGACAATTTCTCAATTAATTTATGCTTTTTAGATATTGGATATTATCTTATTAATTTACATCCAGCGTGCAGTCCTGGCCTTTCAGTACTTTGATTGTGATCTGCATGGCAAAAAGCAAAAATGTAATACAAAATAGGGAATTCGACCACAAGCAATATAAACAATCTGACTTTAACGTTGCCACCTGGCTGGAGTTGCCAGAAGTCTTAAAAAGTTTAATCGGTATTTGACAAGAAAATTAAATTTGATTAGGTTTAAAAATTATTTCTTAAGTGCTTATTTATAAGCCATTTGAGTTAAACTTTTGTTGAAAACAAAGAACTTCTGGCCAACTGAAATAGGCCGGGAACAATCTAAGGTGAACAAGAAAAATAATGTTTGCTTATTTAAATGGTTAAAAAACATTTTTTTATTATCCTTCAAAAATGAAATTTTTGTTGCGATACTTCGTTAAAACCTATCGAAGGATATCGAGGTCTGGCAGCTCCATTCTTCGACAGCACTGCAGCCCTGGCAACTCTATTTTCTATTGAGCACCGACAACGTTGCGTGAATAAAACAGTTTACATAAATTTTTATTTACAATTGCATAGGCCGTTGATGTTGTGCGTTCTCAGCGTAAAGGTGAACTTGACCCGTGTGCCGATAGTCCGCCGTGCAATTAGGTGCGAAATTCGCAAGCGAGCCTTGTGAAATTCGCACTCGAAAATCGCAGTCGATCGAAGAAATTGCAGCGCAAATAATTCATAGCCTCGACTGAATTTTAACGCGAGAGCGGTGTGCGTGTGTGTGCGAGATTGTGATTCTGTGTGCGTGTGTAAGCGTTTTTGTTAGAATTCGCATTTTACGTAAAGAACAAGCTTTTATCAGCGGTGAATTTGATGTTGGCGAACCTATATCGCAGCAGGGGCAAATTTAACAAGTTCTTGCAGCTTCTAGCGGTAAATTGGCAAAACAACAACACCCCAAATCCTTAAAAAAGAAAATAATCCAAAAACCCAACCTCGCCCCTTGACATTCAAAGTTATATTTGTTTTCCCACATATGTGCCTATTGTGTGTTTGGGTCTTGGAAGTGCAACTACAACTATTAATTATACCTAGTACACATTTTATTTTTACGCTCTCCCTCTATCTGGCTATTGCAGACTCTCTCCGTTTTACTCATCTTTGAAACTATAAGTATTTGCTCAGTGCTTAACAATATTTGTGTTAAAGAATGCCCATCCTTGCACCTCCAAAGAATAAAAAAAAATTACCAACACCACCCAAACGCGCTCTGCTTCCCCCAATTTTTCTTGGCATGTCTGGCAACCCTGGCGATTGGTCGACGGCCATTGCTTCGCAACTTGTTGCTCGTCCCTCGCATCGCTCGCTCTCTCTTGCTCTCTATTAATCACTCTCTCCCGCGAGTGTTTTGGCATTTTTGTTATTTATTTCCGTTTGAAATTTAAGTTTAAGTTGTATGCGAACAAAAAAAGTGTAATGTCTGTACAATGTGTTATTGCGATTGTTCCATCCGAAATTCGTAATCCTCATTTCCACCACCTGCCCAATTGGAAGTTTCAGCATTAATCGGGGTACGTGTTTGTGGTACCGTTTAGAACCGGATTTGCTATGCTAGAGAATAAGAATAATCGCGCTTCTGTGGGGACTTCTTGTGACAACTTTGGATCTCCGATTCGAAGCGGGTTTCCTCCATTAAAGCAATTCCAATTGGAAAGCGCACAGCAAGAGATTCTAAAGGTTGCTCCGTTTCCCATTGGCGATGTGACTACAGTTGCAGATAAAAGAATAGCAGCGGTTACAAACTTGTTAAAAAAAAGGCTGTCTTAAAATAAAGGTCTTTTATTTTTATTAAAAGATTCGTAATAAATCTATTATATAACTATTAATGTTATAAAAATGTTCGAAAACAACGAAAATATGTTGACCCCACTATTTCTGTATATGTGTGTCTGAGTGTGTTTTTGTGGCTTTAATTGCACGGTGTTGTTGTTGTTGTTTTTCCTTTAGTTATTGCTATGTTAATTTCTTTCTTTCGACACTCTACAGTGCAAATATAATTTTCAGATAGCAATCAATTGAGAGCGGTCCAGCCCGGCTGTTGTATTTGTTTGTTTGTCCAGTTGTTTACGTTTTTCGTTTTCTTGCTGGTTTTCATTCGTTTTTAATTTTTTTTGTAAAACAAAACAAAAAGAAAAGAGCACATCCAAAGAGCCAAAAAGAACCGATTGCGTATTATGGATAACGAGGCGTTAGAACCAACAACAAAGAGCAGTACGTCGGCAGCGACGCCAGCAGCAGAAACAACAACAACAGTAGCAGCAGGAACAACAACACCAGCAGCGAGCACAACTTCGCCGGCAGAATCCAAAAACGAAACGGCCACAAACAACAACACCGCCACAAGCAACAACAGCAGCAGCAATATAGTCATACCGGCATCGGCCACTAACGGTATCAAAGAGAGTAACAGTAACTTAAGTACAACAACAACAGTAGGAGCAGGAACAACAACCACAACGGCTACCATACCAATTGTGGTGACCAGCGGCGGTGTTCCAATCAGCAGTGAGGTGAGTAGCTCTGCCCCAAGACACCCAACGCCCACCTCACTCCCCACTCACTCACTCTATCTCTCTCTCTTCCACCTGTCACTCTACGCATGTGTACCGTTATTTTGGCGTAAAATGTTAGTAATGCTTACTTGTACATTATGTATCTGTGTGGATGTTATTGAAACACTTCCTTAATGTTATCTTATCTTATCAACGCAAATAATGTGTGTGGTTATCCCCCCTTGCCTTCGCACGATTCAAGTTAGATTGACCAACACCAATTAGATTCACAATGTTACCGATTGTTAAATGAGCTTGTGTCGTTTGGATAACAAATCGAATCAGAAATCTATCGAAAGTACTTGACAACTCAATCAGCGGTTGTACCTGTCTCCCATTTACACTGCGGCTGATTTTTCGTTTCTACCGAAATTAAATTAAATAAAAAATCAATAATAATGCGTTTAACCGATAGTATCATAAACATTGGTATAATCGATCAAAAAGTTGAAATACAACTACAAAATTTGGTTATAATAATTATAAATATAAATTCTGCCTTTATTACCAATTTTTCAGAAGCCAAAATATAGGAACCCCGTTAACTACTTGATGATGATAACAAAAATCAAGATTATTGTTTGCTTATAAAAGTAGTTTACGATTCATTATCTTTTTAATTGTTTGTTTTGTTGTATATGAATCATATGCTTTTTGTTTAAAATCTGCTAACCCAACCGGGGTTCTAAATTTGTTTAACTACAAAAGCAATTAGCTTCCTATATGAACATATTTCAATACCCACTTGCCTGTTTCCAGTTAGACTTAAAAAAATAGGGCAAAAATTTGCTTTTTGGATTTGCCAAACAAACTGCTTCTGAGAACACCTCTAAGCTAGTGCCTGGAAAGTATATGCAAGCCCTGAGTTTGTGTCACCACCTGATCCTTGGTAGATGCCAGCAATATAATCCTATATGTGTATGGAAAGCCTACCGAAATCCAAGCCCCGTTACCCAGTGCACATCTCTCTATGTTCGGCATTACTAAACTCAGACTAAAACACACCCACAGGCAGCTCGTCTTAGACGTCAAGGATTCGCACAGTCGAAGGTAATAGGGAACGCCGAAATGGCAACGAAGGACCCTCTCTGCTATGATCTGCTCTGATTTTGCAAGTGCTATCTTTTGAGTATGCTTATTTTGTCCAAATATTGCTTTGCATTCGTTGTTAAAAATTGTTTTCTTTTACGTACTGTACGCCATCCTGTTGCCATGGGAAATGTTATAAGACATATCGAAATTGTGCGCACTTGCAGGCTAACAAAGACAAGGACAGTACACCACCGCGGGATGCACCGCCGCCAACGCCGATCACCAAGGGCTTAAACCTCACCGGCACCCCACTTGTCCGCAAGGAGAAACGCCAGACCAGCGCCAGATACAATGCGTCAAAGAACTGCGAACTGACGGCCTTGAGTCCTCTAAACGAGAGTGAGTAGCCCGAGAAGAATTTTTTTTGTTTTAAAGTACTTTTACTTAGTTGGCTATCTAGAAAGCCTGCAGATCGATTGATACTACATAAAGTAGTATGGTGTAGTATACTTTTCAGGGTGGGGTTGTTTTAGAAACGATTAAATAATCATACTTGCTTGGGAACGTAAAATGAGCCTTATTTACCAACTTAATAAAAAAGAGAATGTGAATACTAAAGTAGTAAAGCAAAAAATTCATTTAAAAATTTTCGCTTGCGTTTACAACCTTTTGCTATACTACAATTTAAATGCAATCCGATCTGCAAGTTTGACAAAAACAATCATCGGCAAGCCGATATTGAACTTTTTTCGTTACCGGCGCTTGATTAATTTTGCATCAGCTGTTGTAATTTACTTACTATCTGTTAATCACGTACGGGAAAGTTAAAGGTCAAGGGAGTGTCGTCTGATTAGGTGGGTGGCAACACTGACGCACGGCCCACTCACACACCCGCACAATCAACCGCATCATTGACACCTCTCACGAATTCTCATTCTCCGTCTCCAGAACTTTAACACATGCGCTCTCTTCGCAGCCTCTTGTTATCTATGCACGGAGAGAAATAAATATGTTAATAATAATTCATATTGGTTTCAATCATAAATACCTGCATTTCCATTTTTATTTTTTTTTAATGTTTTACTCCCACTTATGAAGCCTCGAAAGAGTATGAAAAGAAATATAAATACATATCTGTATGTCTGAGCATATTTCGACTTGATAATTGTAAATTTTTTAATTTAAGTGCACTATTATTGTCATCGGATTGTTATTCATTTACCTTTCAGCTAATTGCTTGGGCGGCTTTGACTCACGAATCGAATAAACACATTTCGCTTGTTCAATATTATTGTTTTATTAGGTATAATTGTGTTGTGGCTCTCTCCCACTTAACCGCTCTCCCGATTGCCTACTCACTTCCACCCACTTTCTTTCTCTCTATTTCTCTCCGTTACCTTCTCTCGATATCGATTTTTCCGATTGGCGCAGCAGGCGAAGCAACAAAAAAGAACCGTTTCAAAGACCGTGCAACGTCGAGAGCCCCAAAAACTTTAATATTAATTTGGAAATATTCGTTTCCCTAGTTAACAGCTCTCCTCTCCTTTTCCTTAATTTTTCCCCTTCCAAATCGTAAGTTTTCTTATATTATCAAAATCGAAATTCCGGCATCAGCAAAGTTTTAAGCGGAGGCGTTGTCGTTCATTTCGTTTTTCATTTACTAAGCAATTCATTTCGTTTTGTGTTCTCATCAGCGCATAATCGCATTTGTCATTAATCTAAACCATTATCTATATTGCAATTCCATTACAGATTCTATAGTTTCATGCTTAGCGTGCCCAAATTGAGTTTCTAGTGTAGTGTTTCTCATTTGTTGTTGTTGGTCGGCGGGGGCGGCTGAGAAAAAAGGTGTTTCGAGTCAGGATTCAAACCGAGTGACCATTTGAACCAAGTGCCGGCACTAATGAGATGGTCTTCGGTGCTATGTTGCTGACGGGCAACGGGCTCAAAGGTCCCAAACAGCAGCAACACCAGCAGGATCATCAGAACCACCAAAATCAACAAGAACACCAGCAGCAGCAGGAGCAAACGAAACCGGCGGCCTTTAGATCCTCCAACAAGGAGCAGGACCCGCAGCCCATTGCCGCTGGGTATTATGCCCTCGGTATACGAATACCCAAATCGCCATCGTTCCACAGCGGTCTAGATCAGCTGGCCGACGACGAGTTGGAGGACCCAGATCGGAATCAGCAGGGTCAAGAGAACCAGCAGCAGGCCGGCAGCAGGTTTAAGTTTAGCAGCGTGGAGGAGCTGAAGGCCAAGTTCGAGGGGCGGAAAACGCCCCTCTCGCCGCCAGAGGCAGCGGCAGCAGCCGGCTCAGGAGCACCCACCACATCCTCCTCTCCCTCGTCCTCGTCCACCAGCTCCAACTCCTCGGCCTCGGCACTGTCCTCGCTTTCGCAGGCGGCCTCATCCTCGCTAGCCTCAGCGGCGGCCAACTCCTCGGCTTCGTCCTCGGCGGCCACTTACGGTGGTGGAGCAAACTCTGCGGCAGCGGCTCTGATTGCCTCCTCGCCGTTTGGATCCCAGTCCTCCACTTCCTCGTTGTCGCTCTCCTCGAATGCCGGCATGTCGAAGAACGCGGCAGGAGCGGGATCAGGAGCAGGAGCTCCGGGAATCTCAACAACAGCCGGCCCAGTCAGTAGTGGCAACTCGCTTGTGTCCACTTTGGCACAGCACTTTTCGGCAGCCACTTCTGCCGCAGCATCGGCGGCAGCCGCTGCAGCATCCTCCGCCTCGGCGGCATCCTCCTCGCCAGCTTCCTCATCCACCGCCGCCAACAACGCAGCCAGCTCCATCGCCGCCAGCAAGGTTTGCAGCTTGGTTTTGTCCACTCACACACACTCTGCGAATCCAACACCCACTGAATCCCCCCACCTGCCACACAACCTAATCCGCACCACTAAAAATACCACAAATATTACACCTTTCCTTTTTATCCCTGACTGAATTAGCTTGTGAATATACAAATTCGAAAAATATTAGTTTTTTTAATGTATAAACTCTACATTTTTTCATAGTTTAACTGTTAAACACACAATATATAGAAGTACTTTTTAAATCCTCAAATTATTAAAGTTAATTCAGTCAGAAAATCATTTCGCCACACATTACTTCTCATGCCCAATTGAACGAACCTAAAGTTGATAAACCAAAAACCTACTCTGCTCTCATTTCATCGCTACCTCATCCTCCAGTCACCTGTGAGCGCGGCCGCTGCCATAAAGAACATACTGAATGCCACCAAGAGTGTGGGTACCAGTGCTGCGGCGGCGGCAGCAGCGGCGGCCACCTCCTCCTCATTATCCTCATCCTCCACGCCGGTGGTGCCGTCGTCCGCCGCCGCCGCCTCCGCAGTCGTCGTTGCCGTTTCCACCACCGCCAGCGATGTGCCCGCAGAAGAGCTGCGTCCAACGGTGGCCCAAAATCTGGTGGGCGGCATTAGCATCTCACTGGGGATTGGCCAGCGCAATGGCAGTGCCGCACCGGCATCATCGGCCGTTGTGGCAACATCGAGCGCCAGCCTAGTGGTGACCACATCCAGCCTGAGCATCCGGCAGAACGGGGAAATAGTCCCGAATCACCCGGGTCTCCAGGCCTCGCCCCAGACGCTGCAACAGCTGACGGGCAGTCCGGGAAGGGCCCGCGACCGGAATCTGTTCTACTCGCCACCCACCGCTTCGGTTGCCCTGGCGCTGCCTGCACTGCGAGGTTGCTATCCCAAAGTGGTCCCGGGCCAAAGGCTATGGGCGGTCACGCCATTCCCATTGCCCTTGGGCTTGCGGCCCCTGAACTACTTGATCCTTTCTGATCTCCATTTATTTCGTTTTGAGTTTCGCTTGCCTGCTTTTGTTGGTCGTAGAAGTTTCTTATTTTGTATTAAGATCTATTTTTTATAGTTTATTTTAAAATAAGTCCTTTGCTATAACCTGTAAACTAATTATATTTTATTTTGTATTTCCATAGAGACGGCCGCCAGTGAACGGGAGGAGCTGTTCATCCAGAAGATCCGACAATGCTGCACACTATTCGACTTCTCCGAGCCGCTGAGCGACCTCAAATGGAAGGAAGTAAAGCGTGCGGCCCTTCACGAAATGGTCGATTTCCTCACCAATCAAAATGGCGTAATCACCGAAGTTATTTACCCGGAGGCGATTAATATGGTTAGCTCACATTTTCATTACTCAATCATCTTTGTTGTTAATCAAGAAAGTGTTCATTAGTTTTGGAGATAAACACAAACTAACTTCAAATTTCTTTCGAATATGTAGTTAGTTTTTGTTGTCGTTGAAATTAATTATAAATGCAATATGCTAATTAATGTTTTTTTTTTTCATTCTACTCAGTTTGCTGTCAACCTTTTCCGAACTCTGCCGCCATCGTCGAATCCGAATGGCGCCGAATTTGATCCGGAGGAGGATGAGCCCACGCTGGAATCCTCGTGGCCGCACCTACAACTTGTCTACGAGCTGTTCTTGCGCTTTTTGGAGTCACCGGATTTCCAACCAAATATGGCTAAACGTTTTATCGACCACCAATTTGTATTACAACTATTGGATTTATTCGATTCGGAGGATCCACGTGAACGTGATTTCCTAAAGACTGTTTTACATCGCATCTATGGAAAATTTTTGGGCTTGAGAGCATTTATTAGGAAGCAAATCAACAATGTCTTTTACAGGTTAGTCTTCTTTTATTTTTTAATAATTTTGAAAACTAAAGGTATTATTTTTTAGATTTATTTATGAAACGGAGCATCATAATGGCATAGCCGAGTTGTTGGAAATCCTGGGTAGCATTATCAATGGCTTTGCTCTACCGCTCAAAGAGGAGCATAAACAATTTTTACTTAAGGTATTGCTGCCATTGCACAAAGCCAAGAGCCTCTCGGTCTACCATCCGCAACTCACTTACTGTGTGGTGCAGTTCCTCGAGAAGGATCCTAGTTTATCGGAAGCTGTCATTAAGTGAGTAAAACTAAGATATTGTATAAATAATTAAACCGTTCATTGCTTCACCAACATGAAATTTACATTTTTATATACATGTTTTTATAATGTACTTCATTTTCTTGCAGAAGCCTGCTTAAATTTTGGCCCAAGACGCACAGTCCGAAGGAGGTTATGTTTTTGAATGAGTTGGAGGAACTGCTGGACGTGATCGAACCGGCAGAGTTCCAGAAGGTTATGGTGCCGCTTTTCCGCCAGATAGCCAAGTGCGTTTCCTCGCCACATTTCCAGGTGGCCGAGCGGGCGTTGTACTATTGGAACAACGAGTACATTATGTCGCTAATAGCGGACAACTCGGCGGTGATATTACCCATCATGTTCCCAGCGCTCAACCGTAACTCAAAGACGCACTGGAACAAGACCATCCACGGTCTAATTTACAATGCACTCAAGCTGTTCATGGAGATGGATCAACGGCTTTTCGATGAGTGCAGCAAGAACTACAAACAGGAGAAGCAGATGTAAGTGAAACAATTTGCTAAGAGTTTGCCTTTATTATAATAGCAAATTAGTTTTGCAATCCCAAAACAAAAGCTTTAATTAAAATTATATTGTCGTTTAAGATTATTAAATTAATGCTTATATGTTTGCATTGTAGGGAGCGTGAGAAGCTTTCCCAGAGGGAGGAGCTCTGGCAGCAGGTGGAGAGCTTGGCCAAGACCAACCCGGAGTGGACGAAGGCGCGCCGATTTAACGACTGCCTGCCGCTCAGTGATAGCCGGGCCCTTTACGATCAATATAGCGAGAACAACGATCTGGCGTACGAACAGAGCGAGCAGCAGACGCGCCAGCCACCGCCTCCGCTGCCGCCACAGAAACAGGCGCTCCAGGAGCCCCGAGAGGTGAGACAGGCACTTGCCACACTAACCACACTAAACAACTACTAATCCGCCACGTGTGATCTTGGCGTCCGCTGTGAGCTGTGCCCAGCTAAGGCCCACTCTGGTTCAACTCTAATTCTAATCGAACGAATGTCTGTTAAAATAATCACACTCATGTCATTTAAAAAAATACATATTTGTATATCTTTAACTTTGTCTATTTATTTATTACTTATTGGTTACCTCACTGTCTGCCAACCTAAAAAAGAATCCATGAATCCACCCACGACACAAAATCGTTCTCTTTCTGTGTCCTAACATTTGGCTTGCACTTTTGGTTGAGCGCAGTGATTCACCTCATAAGAAATCGGGCGGAATCCATATTTTAATCTTATGTAGTAGTTACTGTAACTTATATTATCATCATCCTACCCATTTGTGGTCCTTCTTAATATGAGAATGTGTCTCCTCTGTAATATAAATATTTATTTACATTTTCTAATTATCCTAGCAGAAATGTTATTTAATATTCCTTTTCGAGCATGTTCCTAACTAAAACAAATTTCTAAAAAAAAAAAAATTAAGGAGATGCAAAGATATGCATTTCGATTACTAAAGGCAATTGAAAGTTTGTTGTTTGAGATTAAGTACACTTCTCCGTTAATACTACAAATGCGATTGGCAATAACAAGTTTTAAAGGCGTTATAACAAAAGGGGATCATTCATCTTTTCGGCAGAATAACAATATTCTCACAATCAATTTAACAGTATTTGTATTTGCTCTTTTAATGGCATCTTTAACAATACTTAGCCCAAAATCGTTCATAAGATAACGGCCAAAAAAAAAAACATTTAAACTTTTGATCTTTGTAATATAATTGGATTTCCGGTTAGCTAATGTACATTTTGTAGTTGTACTTTCCACTCGGTGAACATCCTGGGATCCACAATAAACCAAGTCCAATCTCGGGTTCCACTAAAGCACCTGCACTCGATATCGAAACGTAACTCATTCCGCACCAAATGTGTAACTTCACCCGTCTAGTGTGTGTTGATTGAGATGCATTTGTCCAGTTAGCGGGCCCATTTTCTATTGCCAAAACCCTTCCCGTTCCATACAGATTCGGGGCGAGCGGAACGTGGACAAGCCGCTGCTGCGCCGCAAATCGGACCTGCCATCGGACAGTGGAACCGTAAAGGCGCTCATCGAGCACAAGCGAACGGATGAGTACCTCACCACACCGCCGCCAGATGGAAGTAACTACTAGGAAGGCGATGGTCAGCTGTCACCACCAAAACTTATTTCTTTAAGAGCCCGAGGCATTGAAAAGATAGTCCACAAAAATCCCAATTACACCCACAACACACTCCAAACTTAGGCCAGAAAGCATATATAAAATCCCAGAGAAGAAGGATTAGGATCAACACAGCTAGAACAAACAATTTTAAACGATGATACGGTGTCATCGCATTTGCATTTTGGGGCTTAGTGGGCGCGTGGCAATGGATTGCAACAATTTCTTTATATAAACATACAAAATACCTATCTATAATGAAACATGCATAGTATCAATAAATATCTAAAATCCCAAACGAGATTTATTATATATATTACTTCTATTGTGAATGCGTTTGAGTTAAATTTTTTTTTTTGCTCGCATGCCACAGTAAAGCTTAGCCTTGAATGATATCCATTTGATTTTATTTATAATTTGCATGCTGCTGCTATTGCTACAACAGCTTTATCGATTCGATCAGATATGCAATAATTTTTACTATCCTAATTATGCTCTTACCATTTCAGTAAAAACGTGAAAATAAAATTGTACAGTTGAATTTGAATTGTCTTAACTTAAGGCGTAGGCGTTTACCACCTTGATTGAGTATATCCCCCGACTTCTGCCACATACTGCGACATAGCTATATGACATCCACACCACATGCATACACAAACATACTATATATACGTAAATATGTTCAACTACTCCACAACTAAAACTTACAAATATTATATGCTATTTAGCTTAGCAGTTAGCAGCTTACCTATATAAATATTTATATAAAACAAATCGCCCAGAAGAACAGAAAAATTGTGGTATGTATGTACATGTGTGTATTTTTGTATGTATTACAACTTATATATAGAAATATATGTGTGGGGACAACAATATTCCTAGGGATCAACAACACGGAGCTAGGATTTATTTGTTTTGAAGCCAGAGAATGCTAAATCCTGGAGAATGTGCCAATTTCTGGGCCCCCGAACAGTTGATTCCCAGCAGGAGAATTCATACATAAACCTATAAGCTTCCTTCTATCGTCAATAATCCCCAAAATCATTCACAAAAAGAAGAAAAACAACAGACTGGACTTTGCTGGTCGTAGCATCTATTTCTATATGTTAAACTAAATATATCTTAAATATTGGATCCGTGTCAACCACTCGTTCGGTTTTATAGTCATTACCGGGTCCGTTAGACAAGGAGTTATGCAGATGTTCTCAACTATTCTAGACAAAGGCGACGAAGCAGATAAAAAGTTTTGCTACCACTACCAAGTGCTGTACACGCCAAGAAAACGAAAGGCTTCAGTTTAGCTATAGACACAAATATATATTATATAAAGAGATGTATTTACATATTTTTGGCATTATAGACACATACACTATGTGGAAAATTGCAAACAATAATAACAAGGAAAGGTAAAGGGAAAGTAATTCTTAGAAAGGCAGATTTTTTCATAAAGGAAACGGTGAAAATCAAACTTTTCAATATAAGAATTATATATAAAAAAAAAACCATAAAATATTTACTAAAAGTGAAACAATAAATAAAATGAGTTATACACCCTTTAAAAAAATATATGTGCAAATTATAAATGGAGCATGTAATTTTGTAAAATTATAAATAAAAGTTTATCAAGTCGAGAACTATTGGACCTATGCCGGTGGCAAACTTAAGATGAAGGAACATTTACAGATCTGCCTAATTACAAATTAAATACAATTACAGAAACTAGATTAGAGCTTTTGTTTAGGTTGAGATTTGGCCACTTTCGTAAATTTAAATTCAATGGAACTTTTCGCTTAGCCCTTGCACCTTTATAGCCATCTCATTTAGAACACCTATAACATCAATTAATTCATTGGAACTTCTTGGTTAGTCCACGCGTCTTAATAGCCATCTGATTTAAAACACTTATTACATCAATTAATTTACTGGAACTTCTCGGTGAGTCCTCGCGTCTTTATAGCCATCTCATTAAGATGCTGCTGCAATAACCTCTTGTTTACTTTTTCCCTAAGGGTTGTAGAAAAACAGAAATTATGTATAAACGAATCTTTAAAAATAACATTTTGGAGCAAAGCGATTGTTTCGATTTTCCCACTTACTTGACTATGAGAGATGTGTAACGTGTTTTATCCACGTCGGATATAAGCTGGGTGGGAAAATTGGGTGTGGCCATTAGGGTCTTCATCCAGACCGCCATCTCAGCGGGATATTTCTTGTTTATAGCCAGCAGGATGTCTGCAAACTTGTCCACCTGCGACCTAGGTGTTAAATACCCAACGCACATCATTGCCGTATAGAGCGTCTGTTCGCCAGTGGCAAGAACGACTTCAGTGACATGCGGATGGTTGCGCGACTGCAATACAAAGTGGGCTAAGAATTGGATGCTGTTCCGGATGGCTCCACTCTCCGGCAAAGTCATGCCTCGCTGGGCGTAAAAAACGAGTCTATCGTAAGCTATAGTCTTGTCCTCCAAAACCTGGGGGATTTTTTTCACGATCTGCGACAGACAGCCAAAGAATGTCTCCATAGTGTCCGAAATGTTTGAAAAGTTCTGCTCGGGAGTGTTCTCGAAAAGCTTAAAGCTGTGCTGGATAAACTCCCTCAAAAGCTGCTGCATCAGCGGCTTGCAGCCCTCGTCCTTGAAGAACATAACAATGGCCTGGGGAAAAAAAGGTTTGACATGCTTCCAGGTCCATAAAATGTTTTTTTTACCGTCTTGGATATTTCCAAGGTTGGCGCACAGCAACGGGTTTGGAAGCTGGCAACTATGAACAAGCAAAGATCCTGAAGCATGGGCTGAAAACTGCTCCTTAAGTTCATGATTGCGTGCTTCATGGCGCTGCAAGCAGCCTAAAAAAAATGTTCGGAAAAAAAATATAAATATAATTCAGCTTCTAAAACAACAGTTGGCTTTGCATTCTCTTACCTCTAGGACATCGATCTCCTCCACCCACAACTCAGCGATTCTTTTAAAGATGGGCATTGTTCGTTGCATGACAAGAAGCACTGGCTGCACAATTGGAAGAGCCTTGCTCTCATCATCCACATCCGTATTAAGAGAAGAGAAGAGGGTGGAGATCATATTGAGTCTGAAAATGGTGCGAATCCGAGCAGCGGGAGTTTTCTGAAAATGATAAAACGCAAATTGGTACAATTTTTTTTGTCATCAATTGAGAATTAAATAAAATTTGTTGAATTTAATTTTGGCTACAAGAAAGGGAATGTGGTTACTTAAAAATTTAGTTTGTAATCTTACCGACTCTGCTTGGCAAATAGCCTGCAACTCCTCAAAGCAGGGACTAACAATTATATCCAAATACTTCGGTATCTCCTCCGGCTGCAGTAGGCTCATGAGCTTCCCGATGCTAAACATAAGCCGAACCGAGTCGGAGTTCTTCATTCGTCCAGTGTTTAGGGAGGCATGACATGCGTTCAAGAGTGGATCTGCATACGGCTTCAGCTGCAACTGACAATCCCGGCACAACTCCTTAAGACCCAAAGTGGCCTGAGCAGACATCGAAGAGTTTAGGCCCCGCACCAACAGGTTGATAGCCGGCGGAATGTAGGCCGGGTTCTCCATTAGCCAATTGCAATAGGAGCCAATCGTTTCAAGAGCAGTTCCCAATAGCTTTACGTTGAGTTTCTCGTATGGAATATCAGCGAGGACCCGCATTAACCTGGGTATCTGCCGCGACTCTTCGCCACCAAAGTGTTCGGCCACCGATTGGAAAGAATAGATGACGGCTTCCAGCTTTGTCCAATGAGTTGGATGTCTTTGCATATCGATAATAGCCTCGTCCAGCATGGCGGCTAAAATCTCGAGTATATAGCCGTTCAATACATCGTAGCAATACATCTGTGAAAGTAGTTTATACTTTGAGCAATAAAGAAAGCGAAATATTAATTGTTATAGACACTCACAAAGGTATCGGAAATATCCTGCCTGTAGCATCTGAAGCACTCCAAATCGTCGGAATTCCATTTGGCGAGAGACTTCTCGTCTGGTTGCTCTGATTTCCTCACTAGAATTCGGGTCAAGTGGGCATACAATGGTTTGATGTACTCCCAGCACTTGTGCTTATGCTCCTCGTTTTGCATTGCGAACACTTCGTCCTGTAGCATATACCAAAAGGCCAACGCCATAGTGCTGCACGACTCCTCAACGGGGTATATTCCCGGCTTATCAGTACAGTGCAGAATCTCTTGCACGATGCGATGCACTAGGATGGATAGTTCTGGATCCGAGGATGTGATCCCGCTCAGCAACAAAGTCGAGTGACGCTCTACGGAGGACACAAACAGCATATAGATGTGAACGATGATGTCCTCGTTGTCATTTTCCCGCTTCCACTCCGTTTTGGTTATGTCAGCCAAGGAGTCCAAAAACATCTTGATGAGCACAAAAGCCGTCTTCGGGTAATTGTGACAGTCCGGCTGGATGATGATGTTCACCATTGTCTTTAGACATGACTCGGCCAGCTCGTTCTCATCGGCGGTCATGCACCCATCGCCGGCATGGATGCAGGGCCAGTAGCACTTGTGAACCACTTCCAGAAGCACGGCCGTAATGCTGACGCAGCCCTCAATGGAGTAGCCAATGTTTCTGTGGGGGATTCAAGAAAATTAATCATAAGATGCAAAATCTTGTCGATAATATCCAATGGGTTTTAGGAATAAGCCGTACTTGATCCAGGTGCCCACGCACTTAACGGCTCTGTTCATATTGCTGTAGGCCTCGGCGTCCCAAACGCGGTTCATCTGCATCTTGAGATACCTCTCGACAGTCTGGAGCACCAGTGGCACCCGCTTACCAATCTCGCCGCGCAAAGTTACCCGCTTGACAGAGGAGTGGATAATCTGGGCCTCCTCGGGAATGGCCGACAGCACCTCTAGCATGATCCACAACTGCACATCAGCGTTGACATTGGGCATCCGCTGATTCTGGAACGTGTTGATCACCTCCTCGATGGCTCCGGGCCATTCGCTTAACATGTGGACTATGTAAGCGCCGAGCGAAATGCAAAGACGATTGAGAACGATCTTGGGTCCGCCAGCAAATCGAACGATGGACTCAAGGATCTTCTGCTTCAGTTCCTCGCGATTCTCGGGCGGCACTTCGTGCCAGTGCTTCATCAGCTTTGAGTGCAAGGTGATGGCCCCGAAGAACTGCACCTCCTGACTCTGTGGAGGTTGTAGGTGGTTGGGTGGTGGGAAGAAGGTGGTCCGGTGGGTGGTAGGTGCATTAGTATACATATCCAGGAAATTGATGCATTGATGCGCAGGTCCTGCTGGGTACTCACCTTACCGAGCTGCATTAGCTGCCATGAAAATTGCCAGGCCTGTGGACTGGCCTCTGCATCTGTGAGCCATTCATGGGTGATCGCTTGGTTCTGAGAGTTGGAGCGATAGAACGAGACGACCGCCTCCTCGAGTCGCACTATGTTGATGGGATCCATGGCTAGGGGTTGCGGCTGTTGCTGTTGCTGCTGCCGAGCGGCAGGCTCCATATTATTTTTTTATCCTTCGGTGGTGGTTTTCCTTGCTGCTGCCTGTGGCACTGGTTTTGTCGAGTGTGACCGTAGTCAGCTGCTTTGAGTTGCTTTCAGGTTGAGACACAAGTGGTGTAGCCCAACGTTGTCGTCAATTATACAAAAAATAGCTAGATTTCACAATAGCAAAATAAAAAGCAATTATATTTCTGATGTACTGTCGTTTAATTTATTAATAAAAGTGTCACTGACTTTATGATTTAAAAATATTCATATTAAAAATAGCAAATCGTATGGTTCCCCATTTTTGACTATTAAAAATAGCAAAAGTTGACGCGAAAATAGCTGCCAAGCGAGGCGGTCACTCCATTTTACATGTGGCGCGCTTTCGTCACGGAATTTTTCTAGTCAATAAATTTAAATTATTTTTTTTTTTTTAATATTAATTTTGTACTTACTTTAGCGTGATAATATTTCGTTACATGAATTTGTTTAATGTCCATATGCAAGAATTTTGATCGCACTAACATTCGAATTCGAACTTAAGTGACCAAAAGCAATACTTTAGTTTAAAACAATTATTTTCTATTATTTCACGACTGTCATCGTCTATGTATAGAACAATGAGCTCGTTTTCGCATAAAGCGGAAACGGCCTTTTGGTCGTACCCCGGTTCGCATGGATCCAAAATTGAACGTTCGATAACACTCCATTTGTCGGTACTCAGACCACAGTTCTGAATCTCCAAAAGCTCAAAAACGGAGCACAACGATTTTCCAGGAACAATCATGGGGAGTACAAAAGAGCATTTAGCCAAATCAAAAAAAACGATGAATGGAACAGCGGTATGTGGAGGGCAAACACCCTCCACCGCTTGAATGACCCAATTGGCGGTTTCGTCATCTTCGCACACTATGAGGAGGTTCTTACAGAACTTGGCCATCGATGTGCAGTCGCTGAAATGTAGATCGTCCACCGTACGACTTTCCATAAGTTTAAAAAAGTGCGCCATTAGAGCTTTCGAATCCACAGAATCGGCTGTGCAGTCATCATTGCTTATAACTACTCCATAACGCCTGTTCTCCGGCATGGTTCGGGCATAGGGCGGCCTTGTATCCTTTTCCCCGCATTTGCCACGCACGCAGCAGTCCCGCTTCTTGTTCACGCACTTTTCTTCATCCTCCCCAGAATCAAAGTCCTGTTCATCGTCCTCCTCAGAGTTGGAAGGCTCCGGTTTGCAACTTCTGGCGAAAGTCTGGATTTTCGAGCCGAAAATAGAGGCCGGTTTCTAAGATAAAAATGTTTTGTTTTTACTATATCAAAAGATAATGTACACGTATTTTAAATCTAAATCACAGGATTAAACAAATTTTTTTTTAATTCTCGGATGATGCGAAAAAGATTTAAATTCAAGTGTACCAACGCGACCACAAGGTAAATTTGTGTATTTTACCTTTACATCATCGGAATCCATCTTAACGAAATATACTTTTGCAAGAAAATAATATAAATTAAAAACTGTATAAAATTTTGTATTATGATATCAAAGAAAATTGTTCAACTGTTGGCTAGAAAGTCTTGTGTTACAATGAGACTTATAGAGTTTCAGACTCCGGTACTCGATTTGACATCAAAGGTCATGGCACTCTACAACACTGGGTTTCGTGCATTTGTTTACAATTCGTTGTTTGAAACGAAACTGAGTGTTTGTCGGATGAAAGCGGTCAATTAAGTTGTTGAAAATGGTGGATAAACGTATCCTGGTCATAGACAATGGCTCCTACGAGTGCCGCGTGGGCTGGAGCGACTCCAAGGAACCGGACCTACGATTCCGCAATGTTCTGACCAAGCCACGGAAGGATCGCAAGAAGGAGGCCACCCAGCAGGGCGCCTCCGAGAGCTCCGTTACTCCGGCGGCTGTAGAGGCACCGGCCGAAATCCAAGTGGGCAATGACATCACCAACATCGAGGCGGTTCGAGCCCACCTCAAGAGTCCCTTTGAGCGGAATGTGATAACCAACTGGAATCATCAGGAGCAAATCTTTGACTATATATTCACCAAGATGGGATTCGAAGGGCAAGAGAGGATCGATCATCCGATTGTCCTTACAGAGGCGCTGGCCAATCCGAACTTTTGCCGCCAGCAGATGAGCGAACTGCTCTTCGAGTGCTACGGCATTCCAGCTGTATCTTACGGAATAGATGCTCTGTACAGCTGGGAGCACTATCAGCAGAATCATCAAAAGGTTGTCTTGTAATTCTTTTACCTATAATTCAGTAATACATATTTTCCAAACTTTAGATATCCGATGCCCTGATCATTTCCTTTGGCTACAGCACCACCCATGTTATTCCCGTGCTCGGCGGCAAACTCCAACTGGAGCATGTGCGTCGCCTCAATGTGGGCGGCTATCATATAATTACCTATCTCTTTCGGCTTATGCAAATGAAGTATCCCGTGCATTTGAATGCCATTACCATTAGTCGAATGGAGAAACTTGTCCATGAGCACTGCCACATTGCCGTGGATTACAAAGAGGAACTGATGAAATGGGCCCAGATGGACTACTACGATGAGCACATCATGAAGATTCAACTACCCTACAATGCAGTAACCGCGACCAATGCCCTGCTAACTGCGGAACAAAAGCAGGAAAAGCGTCGGGAGTTGGCCCATCGCCTCCTGGAGATAAAAAATCGGCGGGAGAAGGAGAAATTACGCGAGGATGAGCAGCAATTGTTTGTCTACAACAAGCTGAGACAACTGTACGAGCAACAGAAATTGGAGAAGTTTGAGCGGGCCCTGCAACAGCAGCAGATCGGTACTTTGGAGGACTTGGATTCTCTTATTGCCACCATAAACTCGCGAATTAAGCGAGCCCAGGACAGGGCGCAAAGTGCTCCACGTCCAAGTAAGCAGCAGGAGAAGCTGGACAAAATGCCTAAGCCGCCTGAGGGCGTGTCCCAGGCGGATTGGCTGGCTGAGCTCCATGGGAAGCGGGAGCAACTGCTCGGACGCAAACAGGCCCGTCAACAGCAGCGCACCGAGCAGGCCAAGCGGCACACCCACGCTGCCCAGGAGCGAATGCGTATCATCTCATCGCTGGCCAAAAACGAAAAACGGCGCAAGGTGAACGGCGAGGAAGAAGATGACGGCTTCGGAATGAACGACAATGACTGGGACGTTTACAAGCGCATTAATCGCTATAACGATGATAGCGACTCCGATGCAGACAACGAGCAGCTGCTGGAGTTCGAGAAGATATTAAGTCATTACGACGCCAACTTCGATGATGGCAACTCGAATGTACAGACCCAGAGTGCGGCCGAGAACTACCAGCTTCACTTTGGAGTGGAGGACATCCGTGTACCGGAGATTTTGTTTCAGCCCAGCATGATTGGCTGCTCGGAGGCAGGTCTTGCAGAACTGATTGCCTTCGTGCTAAAGCTCTTTTCCGCCGAAGAGCAGCAGCGTCTAGTAGATCACGTCTATCTAACTGGTGGATGTGCCCAGTTCAGGGGCCTTAAGGAGCGACTCGCCAAGGAGCTGATGGAGATGCGTCCGTTTCAATCGAGTTTTGCCATTTATGAGTCGGACGAGCCCACACTAAGCGCCTGGCTGGGAGCTTGCGTTCAGACCAAAGAACCCAACTTTGGCCAGACACTGACTACACGAAAGGATTTCCAGGAGAAGGGGAACGAGTTCTTCCGAGAGCACAGAGCTAGTAATCTTTTTTATCCTACACCAAAAGATTAAAATTTATTTGAAACCACCGAGAAATATATACAGTCACTTAAAACAGAAGTTCCGTCACATCGTTGCCAAATAGCAGATTCCATGACTTTGGCACCGTGAGCTTAAAACTTCCGTCGCCGCCATTACGGAGCTGTAGGAAATCCTCGCAAAGTTCGTTCAGTTCTCGGACGATAAGAGACGCATCCGTGGAGTTGTCCCCTTCGAGCAGGTAGCGGAAGAGCAGCATGACGGGCACCTTCTGCTCATCAAAAGCCTTGAACAACTGCAGGGCATTGCCGCCGCCATAGATGGCTTCGCCCTTGTGCTCCTTCCACTTGATCAGCTCCTGGTTGCCCAGTTGGGCGGCATGGGCCTCTTTAAAGTTGTCGCTGGCACGGTAGGCCCAAGGCGATTCCTCAATCACACGCTTCTCAAAGCCAAAGCTGCCGCTGAGGATGACCACTCGGCGAGCGCCCTTGAGCAGCTCCACCAATTCCCTCTGGAAGTTGGCGGTGTGGCGGGCGACCCAGGGAGCTCGAAACTGAACAACTAGGAGCTTGTCCTCGGTGCCCTCGTACAACTCGCATGAGGAGACCTTCTCGTTGGGTTCGTGCTGGTAGGCAGAAGGTCCATAAACCGGAATTAGAGCCGGATGTGTCAGGGATCCAATGCGACGAAGTTGTTTGGAGGCGATCAACAGGTCGCAGGCCAGCTGCGCAGCGTTGCCGACGCATATGCTCGGTATAATCACCGTGTGCTCCGCCAAGTCCAGTTTGGATAGCTTGTTTTTCAGAAACAACATGACTAGGAGAGATTGGGTTCGAAACTTCCGAGAAGTCAAGTCAAAAATATGAAAGTAATGTTTTAGTGTTGCAAAATGGCGCTGTTTGGGCTTACCGGTTGCAGACAGGTGGCAACGCTGTACAAGGGCGGCGCAAAAGGGGCCCAATAGTCCAGTGTACTTTTTGACTACTCAAAATTTGACAACCGCGGCTACGACAAGCTTGATTTAAAGGTTTTAAAAACTTTATGAGTCAGCATAAAAATTATTATAAATGAAGCTTTTCGAAGCTGACCGGTTACATTTTTTTAAATTAATATTTTCTTGACAATGATTAACCTTATTGGGAATTCGTTACTATGCTGAAACGTTGTTATCCACTCGTCTATCGATATCCGGGTTAAGACGTTATCTAACACTACCTCTTTGATTTTATTGCAAATGTTTTGTTTTCCGGCTTTAAAATGTCCAATTCCGTGAATATATCGGTAGAAACTACTTGCGAAAACCAGATACGTGAGATTGGCTACGATGGCACCGAGTTATATCAGCCGTAAGTGTTACTAGAAAGCGGGAAACCATTTTCTTAACCAGTTGTTTGTGTTTCAGACCGCCGACTTTGTCGGAGAGTTTGGCCAAATGTGCGGCGCGCATAGACTTCAGCAAAACGTCGCTGGACGATCTAAAAAAGGAGGAGAAGTCGGCGGCGGCAACAACCGACGAAGACAAGGACAACACACAGTTTCAGGAGAGTCTGTGGCCCTGGGACGCGGTGCGCAACAAGCTAAAGGATGCCCTTACCGAGATCTGTGTGCTGTCGGATGTAATCTCCATTGCCAAGGATAAGCGTTATCTGGTGCTCGATCCCCTTCTGGAGGAGGCCGACGACACGAAGCCGATTGTTCAGGTCTACAGCCGAAAGAAGGCCATCTCGCAGGCAGCCCAGGTGCTCCTCGGTGGAGCTGAACGCCTACGGAATGCCCATAGTGAACAACGTAGCCGTAATGTTTCGGATTTCCACATAGAACTGCTGCGCCTTCGACAAAACTGGCGCCTAAAAAAGGTGTCCAATGCGATAATCGGAGATCTCAGTTACCGCACCGCGGGCTCCAAGTTTGGAATGAGCGGAACGTTTGAGGTAACCAAAGCTGAGGAGGCCGCTGATGACGAGGCCGCCAGTTCCTCCAACAACAGCAGCAGCAGTACCTCCGGCAACAATGGCATGCAACTGAAAGCCAGCTCTGCCTTGCGGGTAATTGTTCCAGCTGAGTTGCAAGGCGTGGCCTACATTAAGGTGATCACGCAGAAGGATCAGGAGGACCTATGCACGGCTCAGGTGAATCTGATGGGCCATGGACCCAACATAACGGCACAAGTCGGCGTCTGGCAAAAGACACTGGAGTTTGCCCAGAATGTACTCTTTTGTAAGGAGCTGTTTGCCCAGTTGGCACGCGAAGCCATCCAGCTGCAGGCACCGATTCCACATGTGGTGATTGGTAACCAGATTCGCGCCACCCTGCTGCCCAACATCCAGTTGATCATCTCGCTCTGCCACTCCACTACCTTCGACTCCAGTCAGCCGGCGCCGATCAACGATCACGACCATGTGCTGGAGCATTCGTTGCACCAACTGCTCCGCGAAGTGCACTACAAGAACTCGCATCATCCATTTCCCCACCCTGCTAGTGCTCCGCTGGGACCGACAAAGAAACGCATGCTGGCCGGTCCAATGGCTGCGGATCGGGAGACTCTTTTGGACATGACAAAAACGCAAACCATACTCGAGCAGATTATCGCCCAGGCGCAGCACATCTTTATGCGCAAGCGGACGCAGTACGTGCTCGATACGCTGGCCAGAGATGTCAAGGATCCACAGATTGTGTCACATTGGAACGCCATGAATAGTCCCACCATGTCGTGTGTAAAGATCAACATTGTGACGCACGGGTACGATGCCATTGGACGCACCTCGCTGGTGATCCATGTAAAGGAGCGCTCTTTGAAGTGCATCTGTCGAGATGGACGCGTTATGAAGCTCTCGTACGAACCGCAGGAACTGCGTGACCTGATCCTCTGCCAGATAAACTCGCATCAGATTTCCTGCCTGATCAGTTTGGCCCGCTGCATGGCGTGGACGGTGCTCTCGAATAGCAACCATTTGGGCATCGGAAAGGTGGAGCCGCTGGGCAACGCAAGTTCCTGCCTGCTAGCCTCTCCAAATAGCGACCGCATGATTGCCGTTCAAATCCGTTGCGACCCGCAGATAGATGTAAAGGTTTATATAGCGAGAAGTCCACGCCAAGACTTTTTCCCCAGTCCTCTCGTTCCAGAGAAGTTGTGGGAGAATCTGGGAGGCAACTTTAAGGAGGTAAGTGAATTCTGCAAAACGAAATTTAAAAGCCTCTAATGTGTTCTTCTTTCAGGTGCGGTTTGACAAAATCGAAGGCAAGAGCTTCCTCAACAAAATGGAATTTCTGATGGCTTCGCTGACCAGTAACTCAGCCTAAATGGCTCCACAAACGACTCCACTAGCTTATAAATTGATTTAGAATTTTGTGTTAGGGATTATTTAAAATAAAAAGGATTGTAATTAGTTTTACATACAAACTGTTTGCCCATCCTTCTACATATATTGCATTTTTAAGGATTAATGACTGATTGGAGGTGCTTTCAGTTCAGTGCATCAGGCTGTAGCTGACATTGTTTTTCCACAACCGAGGCTGATAGTTGTGAGACTCTGGCGACATGTTTCGCTGCTGCATGATGGTGAAGGTGTCCTCGAGACTGACCACATTCGCTCGGTTGGTACTCTGCCAAGAGAAACAATGATTCTCGGGCTCGGATTACAGCCTACCTGACCGAACTCACCCAGCGTTCCAGATCGCAGAAACTGATGTTGTAGTTTTGTCCGCGCGGCTGAAGTGTCTTTACCTCCACCTGACCCTCCAGTGGCTGGGCGAGTCGCAGATAGAGCCCTCGATTCGTTGAGAACAGAACAGGCACTCGCTTGGCCGGCGCCGATCCTGCTCCTGTTCCCGCGCCTGGAATCTGCCTGTAGGTCGGGCAATGGTTTAGAGTGGAGATCGACTCCTCCGGCAGCGGGCCATCGCTCCCGCCACTGACTCCACCCACTGTCCGCATCAAACCCATGCAAGTGTAAAAACAGGACGCCACTTTGCCGCATTTATGGGATTAGTGGCTCTTACTCAATTTCCTGACCAGCCCAGCGGACCACGTAAGAAGTTCGCTCTATATGCATTGCTCCGCCACTCCTTAACCTATCGATTTTGTGCAGCGCCAAGCGCAACGACGACAACACGGTCCGAGTGTCCAGCGAGTGTGTATCAGCCATCTCAATTTGTATGGGCCACAATCGAACGGCCAGTTGCCCCGACAACCAATTCCAAATGGCCGATGGTGTCCGTTCATTAGCCATGTGCGTGTGCCGGACCAATTGTTTCGGTCAGAACCACAGCCAAAACCAGATAGCCGGACGCACGCGTCTGCTGCAAAATTGTTCAATTAATGCCAGCGGGAACTGAAATCTTTTTGATGTATAGTCATCAAGAGATTGAGTCCAACTGATGGTGCTGCGATTGCAAATAACACGACTATTATTTACCATATGGAATTGTTGCTAAATTGGAACGAAGCTGCTAGTACCCTTTAAAAAGAATTGTTTAAACAAATAATTCCTGAGTTTTAAAACCATCCAATCCCCTTAATCGAATTTTATAAAGGAATAAAATTTCTTTTACACTCAATGTCGCCCTTAAATAATTTATAACACCTTTACTTCTTTTTTACTTTTTACAAATATTGTTTTAAAACTTTATTTCATTTTATATTATATTGTTTTTTTTTTTTTTTGTTTGTGTTGTGTACTTGTAAATTGTATAATTAACACTAAAATACTTATTTAAACATATTTCCATATTCAATCGGTTTTTGTATCCCCTTCTTTTTTTAATTTTTCTGTGTTACTTTTGCCATTTTTTTGTTTTTGTTATTTGTGGTTTGGGCGATTTATACTTTTGTTTACTTAATTCCACTCCATTATACATAGATTTTGTTTGTGGTTTATATAGATCCAGCAATTCAAACGCTCAAAACTTAAGCGTTAGTAAATAAAGATAACTTAGTTACTATTTAAGTTTCTTGCTTGTCGCACCGTAGATGCGACGTTTCGTACCATAAATTATATATATTTCATGCAGCACATACTATTAATTTTTCCACTCTCTCTCTCGTTCATATTTTAAATTCCGACACATTAAACATATACAATATTTAAAATAGATTTTTCCACTTCTTGTTTAATTATTTTATCAATTGATTCGTGTGTTGGTTGTGGGGGTGTTTGTGTGTGTGTGTGTTATAAAGAAATTTCATTAATTTCTTTATGGGTTTTCCTTTTGATTTGTTTATGTTGCTGGACTTATAAACTAGCTTTAATCTAATGCTACTATACGGGTTGGTTGGTTTTCTTCTATGAATGCAAAATGTGCTGTATCGGTAAAAGGATGCAAGCACAGACATATACAATGTGTATATAGCTTTAATTATATTGTATGTACTTTAAGACTTTTGTTTGTACAGCATTCATGTTAAGTATGATATTTGAAGTAAACTTTTCTTTAGGTTATGTTTCTACAATTGTTGCTGCGTTTGCTGCATTTACGAAATATATAATATATACTTTATATGCATATTAAACAGCTAAATCTTATAGTTATGCGCGTAGCTATTTGCAATAAATTAGTGCATACAATAGGCTACATCTGTATCTGTTTCTGTCTATATATAATGTTTACATATAGCTTTCTATATATTTTCTTTCACTGCCCTAATGCACACACAATGCCGTGAGGAAATCGAAACGAGTGCAAACTGTTGCCGCTCTCCAAAGTGAGGGAAATCGTAAAGATCGTGTCATATCTCATACAAATGGTATTGCTCGCCGTTGGAAGGAACTTAAATAACGATTTTCATTTTAGTTGTTTGGTTAAAATATAAATACATACATACACATACGACAAATGAGAGACGAAAAGATACAAAAACAATACAACAAATACAACGCTTTGAACAAACAAATAGACACAGACGGGCAGACAAAATAGAAGCGTAAAGAAACGACCACAAAGTGCCAAGTTTACAATTTGTACAATGAGAATTAAAAAAATAAAATTTGGGCCAAGCGAAACGATCTAGACATTGTCCATTCTGCAGAATGGATCAGTTCAAGAAGAGTGCATGTGTATGAGTGTGGTTTACAGACTATCCATATACAAGTCCAATAATGCTAACTATATACTCAACTAGGTATTATGCATATCATTATAAATATTCCATTCATATGCTTGCCTTCGGATTTGTTGCCTTTGCTTAACAAACAATTGATCTGCGATTATGATTTCGGTTCTCTATATAAGCAAGTGAATGGGTATAAATAGGGGACAGGCGAATGGTTCTGGTGAAGTTTTGTGTGAGGTTAGTGTTTGCAACAACTAAACTAAACACAAGGCTCACTAAACTTGTTGCATACATGTTTAACATTACTTTAAGTAAACACACGACCATCTACAACTCGAACTAAAATGAGAACTTTAAGTTGTTTCGAGATATTACTTGCTTTTCTTTTTCTAGCTCGACTTATAGAAGTTCGACTGTTTTTGCTTGTTCTTTACGATTACTGCTTTGTTTGCTTGGTTTTGTTTTCATTACTTTTCAGTATTATCTCAATTTTGCTGGGAAACACCTCTATTCTGCCCACCACTGCCCCTTGGCCTTCTTCTGTAATTTAGTGCCATTTGTGAGTTAAAATTTTGACCGAACACTAAAATTAAGCATAGAATACAACAACGAAACGAACTTATCTAAAATCGACAGCGAGAAAACCAGAACGAAGGACGGTGGCAGTGGCAACAGAACGCTTCAACACGTCCGTTTGATCCTTTCACAATTTTACAATTGTTGCTTTAGTCTATTATATTTAAGGTTTTCTTTTTTGTTTCGCTTTTCTCTATTTCTCATACATGCGTTAAATGTTAATTACTTTATGCTTATGTATCAAGGATTTCTACTACCGCGTTCTTATTTTCTGTGTGTGTGTTGTGGTGTGGTGTGTGGGTTTCGCCTTCAGAAATTGTTGTTGCCATTGCTTAGCAGATTGGAGGCCGCGGCCCCAAGCGCAGCAGCCGCAATGGAAGCGGCCGAGGAGCTTCCCGCCGATCCGTTGGACGCCGCAGCCGCCACCACAGCTGCCACAGCGGCTGCCACCGTGTTGAGATGCTGCTGATGCTGCTGCTGTTGCTGGTGATGTTGTTATGGCATGAAGTAGTCCGGATGATCTGCGTCTTTCTCAAACCGCTTGGCTTCCTCGTGCATGCTCTCCTTGATCTTCAGAATGGCCGCCGATTCCGTTTGATCGTTCTCGCCTGGTCCTCCAAATCCACCCAAATTGTAGTCGCCCATTCCGCTGCCGGAATCTTCGCGCGGCGTCCCTGGTCCACCGTTGGCCGGCGAGTTCTTCATGCCGTCGAGGCCGGAGCCATCGGGTCCACCGCCACCATTAAGTACGGGGCCCATCGAGTTGGGCCCGCCACCCATCGGACCCATGCCGCCGGGTCCTCCTCCGCCGCCTCCGCCATCCGGTCCACCGCCCATCGGGAATTCGGGCTTCATCAGGGCGTACATGCTGTCACCGGGTCCACCAACTGGTCCGCCTTGCGTATTATCCTGCGGCGACGGCATGATGGGCGTCCCCGGTCCCGGCGGTCCATTTGATCCGGGTCCGGGTCCATAGTTTCCTGGCGATGATGATGAGTACGCATTTAGCGGCGCTGAAGCGTTCGGCTGCCACTGCGGAGGTCTTCCGCCCGCTCCACCCATGCCCATTGGCGGCATTCCGCCGGGTCCGGGGGCCGGGCCACGCATTCCTCCCGGTCCGCCGTAGCCCATGGGTCCCATGCCGCCGGGGCCGCGTGGCGGATTCATTCGCGGATTCATCGGCCCCATTCCGCCACCTGGCCGTGTAGGATCCATACTGTTGGGCATCATCGGCTGGCCGGGTGGTCCGTTAAACTCATTGCCCATGCCCTGCATACGCACGCCAGGCCGCGGTCCGCCTGGATATCGTGGACCGCCCATGAACGGCGGCTGGCCGGGCATCATCTGTGATGGCGGCGGCTGCGGACTGGAGGCGTGCGTGGGTGGCGACGGTCGCATCGTGGAGTTTGGGAAGAAATTCGGTCCCATTGGTCCGCCGGGACCCATTGGACCGCCATCGCCGCCGGGCGGCATCTGTCCCAGGGGACTGGGCGCAGGTCCGCCAGCATTGTGCGGGCCTCCTGGTCCAATTCCGTTCACGCCGTATCCGGAGCTTACAAATCCGTAGTCGTGGAAGGCCTTTGCCTCCGAGCTGTGATCGCACTGATCGCGGCGCTCCGGTGCCGCGCAGTACAGGTCCCAGAAGACGCACCACCAGGTGTGAAGGAATCCCGGCGGTTCGCCGAGCGTTATGTTCTTCTCCCATCGGATCTCCGAGAGGAATGTCTGTGCCGCCTTTTGGGCGCCAACGTGCAACAGATATTCGTAAACGTAAAGGGCCAACTTTTCGCGGGCCTGGGCGTCCGATGGAACCGCCGATGTCTTTGATTTGCCGTACATTTTTGTGGATTTGTGTGATTGTGATGTTTGGCTGCTGCTGCTGCTGCTCCTGGTGTTGTTGTTATCGTTGTTGCGCTGGATAAGGTGGTTTTCAGTTAGGGTTTTAGGAGTTTCTCGCCTCTCTTTTGTCGCTAGTTCGCTTTTTGTCTACCGACTGACTTCCACTTTATTTAAATTTTATACTTTTTTTATGTACTTTTTCGAGGCTCTTGCTGTTTCTTCTCCTCTTCGGTTGTTTCAGCTTCTTCGTCGTCTTCTGCTTCTTCTTCTACGGCTGCTGCTACTGCTTCTGCTGCTCTGCTGCTCTGCTGTTGTTGTTTTTTAATTGGCCGCGCTTTGGGCTCACGCAGCCGTTCTCCGCCGCTCTATTACTTCCACCATTTTTAATAAAATATATTTTTTGATTTTACTTTTTTTTGCGAATGGGGAATGAAACGCACTGTGTGCCTTTACTTTTCGGTTTTTTACTTAATAAACTTTTTAGCGCGCTCTCGCCGCTTGTGTGTGTGTCGCCACTTCTTCGTTTTACCGTTTATTTTTTTCAGGTATTTTTTTGCCTGATTGTTGCTGCTTCTTCTTGCACAACCACTAAAAACAGAAAAAAAAAGCAGAGGGGGAGAGAGAGATAAAAAGAGAGCATGAGTGAGAGAGCAACTTTGTGTGTATGTGTGTTGCAAATTTTCGTGTGCCTGTGTGAACTTTGTCTGTGTGTGTTTCTGTGTAGCGTACTTGCGTGAGTGCGAGAGAGGGAGCGCGCGCATTGTCGACAAAACGGCACAAGTGCTACACTGGCCGTCAGAACTTTTATACCACTATCAACATTTCTTAACAAAAAATAAATAAGATGAAAATCGAAAACTTATAATTTTTAAAATGGTTTCTAACTTCCTATGATTGTTTTTTTAGTCATTAAAATTCCCGTTATGAGCAATTACTTTTGTGAAAAAATTACGACAGTCTTCGAGCATCACTTAAAAAAAAAAATATCTATAATATGGCCTTACGTCTTTTTAACAAAAGGAAACGGTTTAAAAATTCCATCTAAAGATATAATTGAAAATATGTATTGATAACCTAATACAACGTCTTTAGTATAAACTGGCGAGTTGTTAAAAACTTTTAGAAATAACTTTCGTGTGTAGTTCGCTGTGGTGAGTGAGTGATGCTCTTGGCCTCTCGGCTTAGTACACAGGTAAGGTACATAGGTAGCAAAAGGCCAACGGGCAGCAAGTCCGTCTGTCAGTCAAACAGCCTTTCGAATCTGAAGTCTACGAACAGGGGCCCCAAATATTGTTGGCACTGTGGGGGAGCGAATGGGTGGTGGGGTAGTTTAGTGACAACCCGGAGAGACAGGGCGCGTGGCGATAAGGCCAATTGGCTCTGCGGACAGGTGCATCAGTTACTAGGCACTATCGACTATATCCAATGGCTGGGAAAACTGTACGACCGATTTGAATACGGTCTTACGGGGAGCAGATAAATGTACACAGAGAGCGAAACTATAGGCCGTCAGCTGTTATCATTTAGGCAGAGTGTCTTATCGGAATATATTATGAAACGAGGTGGAAAACTATTTTGACTGAACTATTCATCATCAAATGTGTTATTGGTTCTTTAAAATGCAGAGACTACAAAATACCGGTCCATCTCTCTCTCTCTTCTCTGACGCTGTTCGAACGCACTGCTGCCGTCTCTGCCCGCATGCACAACAACAATACAAAATTAAGTAAAATCTACATTAGTGCCGATATTTCTTCATTGTTGTTGTCTATTTGAAGACGTCATCAAATTGGGTACGCGGGTTTTCTCTCGCACGTTCTACTTTTTGCCACACATTCTCGCAAACGCACACACACGCACAGCTTCACAGATGGCCGTTTGTTTTTATTGTTGGTGTTGTTGATACGCACCTTTCGCTGTTTACTGTTAGTTTTTCGCGATCGCCCTAATACTTTGAATACTTTTATTTTGACGAGTGTCGTTTGCTGCTGATTGCAATTTTATCACAAAATCAACAAGAAACACAAACACAGTTGAGAGGCTGCTGCTCTCGCGAGAGTCAAGACAAAAGAGAGAGCAAAGAGCGCGTGCGAGAGCGGTGGGCAAGAGAGGGAGGTGCGATAGCGAGAATACGGAATTTTATTACAATCTCATTGATTTTTCGTATTCGTATTTGTATTAGCGGCTCCCCGGCTCCTCACATGTTTTGCGCACATACATATAATTATTTATTATTAAACCGCGCGCTATTTTACTTCGTTTTTGCTTTTTGCACCAATTCTCTTGCTTCGATTTGTATGTGTTTATTCGTTTGTAGATGTGTGTGTATGTATATGAGCGTGTGCTTTTAATTTCTTTTCTAAACACACTTTTTTGCCTGCCGCCGCTGTGTTGTTGGTGTAATTTTTGCAAGTTTTCTCTTCACACGCCTTTCATTTGCCGTGCGCTTTGTCCGTGTGTTCGACGATTGCTTTTACTGCCTGTTCGGCTGCTGCTGCCTCTTCTTCTTCCACTAAAAATCGGCTCTTTTTTGCCTGTACGAAATTTTCACAGCGAGCTATCGCGTTGAAATGCATTTTAAATAGATGTCATTTCAGAAGCAAACACAACATTCACATTTTCACTTTATTTTCAATAAATTATTGATTTCGTTAATTCGTTTAAACACCGCAAATTCGTATAAATTTTTTACTGCTACAAGTTGCGTCGTCGTCGTCTTTAGAGCTGGAACAAAAATCGATGTTTACTCGATACTATCGATGTTTAAAGAAGTTTTTTAAACCGATGTTTTTCCTGTAACAAATCTTTTTTGTTTTCGCCCAACCACTTCCTGAGCTAAATAAAAAAAATGTCATAAACATAGATTGATCGAACTCAATTACGAGTACAAAACACATATCGTACTAATATATTTGTTGAGAACGACCCATAGAGAAAGCGCCAAATTCAATTATGTATATCATTTTATGTAAAATGTTTTTAATTAAAAATTATTTTTTAAGAAAATAAAACAAACGCTGTTTCTTTATGAATTTTATTTATGATTTATTTCGATGTTTATCAAAAAATAAATTATTTAAACTAAGACTTAAGAAAAAATATCGAAGTTTATTCGCTATAATCGATATAGAGCTTGAGTCAATTTTGCCAGATCCCGAAAAAAGCTTTTGCGAAGTTGCCAGATTAATTAGATATCGTCATGCAGCAAAGCTCGTATTTCATACGGTAAAGTACAGACCATGGAAAGTGCATAGGCTTTGCGAAAAGGAAATATTTGCTAAAATTTGTTACAGCACTCCTACACAACAAATTATTTAGCGCTGGATCCAGTTGTCAATGGGTAAGCTTTTTGTTTAATAAATTTAACATTTTTCATGTTTATTGTGAAGACTTTAAGTTTGAGGAAGAGGTGCAAAAGCCGGTGTTACTTTCGTGTGTATGCAATTTCTTGTTGCTGCCTGTTAACATTTACAGTGTGACCAGTCGCTGGCTTGTTTATGTTTGGTGCTCTGGAAATAACGGTGTTTGTTTGAAACGCACTCAGTGCAACTGCAACACTCGCGACCGTTAAACGTGTTCTCCGGTTTTTTTCTTTTTCGAATTCCCTGCAATGTGCGCGATTTCGACGCCATGCAGCTGAACAAATTGACAGTTGATTGAATACCACTCGAAACCGAAGGGGATTAAACGGCTTTAACAGTTGAGTTCAAAAAACGTTCAAAAATATACATATGGTTCCCGTTTCTTTTTTTTAATTTTTTTTTTACTTTTGCCTACTCAGCGAGCACGTGACGGCCGATTTTTGAGCGTTTTCCACAACCCACTTTACTCCTTCTATATCCCATAATATAAGTGCTCCGCGTATTTTGCATATGGCCTCTAAGACTGGCTCTTTTCAGCGATTGTTCGAAAGTGTTGAAGCCTATGGCAATGCGGGGCATTCAAATGGAACACTCGGAAGGCCCCTGGAGAACCCCCTTTTTTGTGTCCCCCTAGTGGGCAATCGTTTACCAAATGAATAATGTCGCTTTCGGGGCCCCCAAATCCCTCTTTGTCAATTTTTATTTGACACATTTTATTGGGCAAATCGTTGGCCCGGTAATCCTTTTGCATTTCTAATTCTGTCAAAATCGAGGGCGACATTTCCCAAGGGTCGCATTTTTTTCCCTTTCATTCTAAATTGGAATCGAAATCAGATTTTGTGCTGATGTGTGTCTGTTTGTTTGTGGTTAGGCTCCAGCTCCTGTTGACTTTCGTTTACAAACATTAGTTTTTTTCGCAAAGCTGGCGAAATTTTCCCTCCACCCAGAACTACATCCTCACGTACAATACCACCATCCACCCGCTGGCCCATTCAATTAGAAACATTTCGAATTGGAAACAGTGAATTGCACTGCTCTCGAGAATTTTGCCGTGCAGCATCTGCTGCTGTCGCCATTAGTGGAAAAGTTGGATCCCAGTTGGGGACCACAAATCTGTGTTAATTTACATTTAATGTGTAGAACAATAATCCCCCCTGACTCATAACTCTCGGTAATTGAATTAACCTTTAATTAATGGCATTATCTTGCTATTTTTATTTACGCATAACGAATTGTTTGAAAATTTAAGGCTTTCTGCACATTAATTAACATCACAGCAGAGAAAAGGTGAAGAACACCGGAATTGAATGGGAATCTGATGATAGTGCAATTGCCATTTTGTTGAGTCATTTACAGTCGAGCTCTTTTTGCAGCGAATCTTTTAATCTGTTTGGACAGCTGTTGGTTTTGGTTCAAGGAAATCTCTAATTAAATTTATACTCGGCTAGTTGAATGCTATTGTAACAAAAAGTTTTCAACTATTTTGTTTTCAAAGAAATTGCAACTTTGATGCTCTAAAGATAAAGACGCTTCGTTTGTTTTAAAATATCCTTTAGAAAGGTAGTTGCGTTTAAGCTAAGTAACCTGAATACCGTTTAAATAGTTTAAGTTTAATTTTGCTATTAAAATATTTTCTTGAAAACAACGAGAAAATTGAACTCTTTAACTTAAGTGTTTAAATTTACCACTATCAGAATAATGATTTTCTGAAGTTTAACAACTCTTTAACAGAAGAATTTAATGTGCATTGCAACGCACGTTCTTTGTTTGGGTATATTCTGCTCTCTATTGTTGTTCCATTAAGTCTTGCAGGAATTTTCCTTTTGAGGAGTTCAGCTATAGTATTTTTTGCGGATTAAGCGCATGAGAGCGAATAATTTGTGGAAGGGATAAGTACTTCTCTTGGTTGGACCTTCACCCGTGCCGCTTGTATCGTTTTGCGGAGCAGCTGCAGCTGGATTTTGGCATCGCACTGACGCAAGCATATTTCAGTGAATCGGGGCAAGTGGGTGGATTGTCGGGTGTTGCGGTCGTTGCCAGCCAGGATTTATGAAGCCCCGCACTCCGATGGCAGGCATTTCCGCTTCCGCCTCGCCTCTTCCCCGCTCCTTCCGCCCTTGTCGCCTTACCATACAAGTGCTGGCTGTATTTTCAGGTTGCTGCACTTGTAATTCAATTGCCTTGAAAAACGGCAACGAGCCAAAGGTTGAATTACAATCTCAACCTCTTCACGGTGTCTTCAAGTGTGGACCTAACCAACTATTGCTCTGGATGGTTAACGGCTTTAAGCCTCGTTTATAATACCGAATTTTATCTAATTTCGGTTTAATACTTGAAAAAAAAAAAAAACTAAAATATGAAATGCATGTACGATAGCTCAAAAACAAACAATATCCATTGTCCAATTATCCATCTGAGGATTTAAAATATTTAGAGGCGCATTTCCCACAGCATTTTTCTTTTGTTTCCCAATTTTATTACCTAAAGCGTCTTTTGATGTTACAGTTTTTCCGAACGTACCTGAACGTTAAGTAAAACTTAAATGTAGATATAAACTTAGGTGCGCTCCATTTGCTCGGTGACCCAAAAAAGTAGACCACATTTATTTATACACCTTGGCATCGCTTTAAGAAGTGGAATGCTGCTCCCCTTTTCAATATCTCATTGGGGAGACACCCAGAGTAGTATATGCATATATTCTGTGTGGCCTAATTAAAGCGTAGCCGCCACAGTTAATTAACTTAATTTTGATTAACGCTCCAAAATTACATTTAAATATTTAATTAGCCACGGCAAACCCCGGCAACTTGCCGCACAGGCACACACACAACTTATTTATTCACACATTCACACTTTGGCCACCGCAGCCGAGTGTCCAAAGCTGTTGGGAAATGGGAAATGAAAAGAGGGGAAGCCCGGTATATTTTTACAATTTTCATAAACGCATGAACAGGGAAAACGAAAAAGTTTAACACGCATACATCTCCCTGCAGATTGTGTGTAGTTTAAAACAATGGGACCTTTCCCACGAGCTCTGCTGTCCAGTTTGTCCGTTCTGTCCAGGTTGTCCGTTCCGTCCAGGTTGTCCGTTCTGCTGAGGCCGAGCGAAGCTGAATTGGCGGCCACAAGCCAGATATAAACCCAAGGAAATACGAGATGAATGGAAACATCGACGGGGGAAAGCGGAGAATGGAAGCCGAAAGCATTCATGCGTGAAAACGCAACCTGCGGACCAGGGAACGGGTAAATGTGGCAGTCCGAGAGATTACGTAAAAATAAAGACTTCGCAGAATATACCGCCGGTAATTTAGGTGTAACAGGATAACATCAAAAATATCGGATGACAGGTTTTTTTGAATAAAGTCGGAAAAAGAGATAAACGCTGTAGAAAACATAATAAACCGTAAGTGAACGTATCATTTTCTTTTTTAATTTGCATTAAAATATAATAAATTGGTAAATTTTTAAATTATTTAAAACCAAAAGGATTGGTTTATATAATAGAAATATATACTTCCAAAAATAATCAACTATCAGTTGCGATTATGGTAACTTATTTTGGGAATAGAAACCCATACCAAGGCAGCCAACGGATATTTTTAGCCCAAATTCTGACAAAGGACTCCACAAAATTGTCTATTCTGTGGATTTTCCCTGCACCCGATTCCTGGTAAATAGTTGAATTTGGCATTCCCAGTGTGCCCACTATTTGTTGGCTCACTGTGGTTAGTTGTTTGGCGGTCAGGCTTGCATCCTGGGCTGTGCTTCATTTAAAAGTTTTTTAGAGCTCCGCCGCCGCTTCTGCTGATGACATCGCATGGGGACGTGTCCTGCGGAATGCAGCGGAGTCGGGTGGAGGGCGAGGAAACCCAAGAAGCGCTGTGCGTGTGCCCCGATTATATTTGCATGAGTGCGTATTGAAGTCAGACCTTGCCCTGCGGGATGAGTTAAAAGCGAAGTGGATCAGCGGGATGGAGGAGCAGCCAGTGCTGGTATTTGGGCAGACGGTGACAACCAAAACGAAAACATTGCGAGTGTAAACAACCAGAACGTGCAGCAGGATGAACAGGACACGGAGGACACGGAGGATACGGCGGATAGGGGCGCTACGTGCAACATGCAACAATAGCATTAAGCTCGCAGCGGAATCTCATTTGGAAGCATGGCAAAATACGCCGCATTTCTCGCATGCAAAGTGGAAAGGGTCTGAACATGTGCAAAACAGGATGTGGATGAGGACGAGGACGGGGACGAGGACAAGGATGGGAGAACCTAGCGGAACTGGCACCAGTTGGCAGGAGTCCTGCGGACCGCAGACAAAAGTTTCCTAGGCTCATTTCGTGTCCCCAACGGAGCAGACCTGCTCCAATTTACATAGTTGCAAAATTTGTTGGGGGCATTAGAACTTTGCCACTTGGTTTGGAGCCTCAGTCAAAGAGCTCAATTCATAGCGAACCAGGTTTATTCTTTAAACTATAATAAATTACCAAAAGCATTTAGTGGGCTCAGATTTTCTAAGGAAATACAAACCATATTATAACCATATCATTTTTAAAGAGCTATAAACAAAACTGTCTTTTATATATTGGAGTTTTTTGTACGCATTTATTTAATTTTAGCTACACATATTTTTTAAGGTCATGATAAGTCAATTAATTGGGAACTACAATATCTTTTAAATTATATACATAAACATAGATTTAAACTTTTCACCTTTTGAAGTGCTTTAAAATTTTAAAGCCTCCTTTGGTGAACAAATAAATTCCGATAAACTGTCTATTAAGGCCTCAGTTGTATTTACACAAATTAGAATCGCCCGAGGCGTTTTTCCCCTGCCTGTTGTTGATGCAAATTCAAATTTAAATGCAGCGTGTTGGGGCTTCGTCGTGTCGAATTAAACCCTCGGCTTGTTTGTTGCCGTTTTTGATGCTCGCACACTTTGCATTCCCATTTGAATTTACAGGATGCAAAACGAAAAGGGCGGAGCGTTTATACAAAACGAGGGGACGAACGGGGGGAATGGTTATTTGCTGTTGCACTTAATGCATTTGAATTGTTATAATTTCCATGGTAATTCTCTCGCTCTGGCCCCGAAATGAAATTAGTGAAAATATTTTAATTGCTGCAGACGGCCAGAATTATGCAAATGTGGCCAAAGGCGGTAAAATGCTGCTGGAAAATATGGAAATGCTGGGTGGCGTTCGCTTTGTTTGTCTAAACTGAATGGGTCTCTCCAGGGAGAAAGGCGGCTTAGGAAGAGTTAAATTTGACTTTGGCTTTGGCTTTGGCCCACTTCCGTCAGCTAATCTCCTTGGCTGCTCCGCCCATCTGCTTGCG